TATGTTTATTAAGTTTATTAATTTTAATAACTTTAATAATTAAAATCAATTAAGTTTATTAAGTTTCATAAATTACGGATTGACCCCATTAACTTAGCTTAAGAACAATTAAATCCGATTGTGATGTTGCCACCATAATATCATTTACTTCGTACATGTAGCATGTATTAACATATACTTCGTGTAGTTCTTGACACATTTTTATACATTGGATGGTTTCCAACATATTAGTCTAAACTTCGTGTAGCTGAGAAACTTTTTTCCTATATCAAATTAAATAGAATCTTCATGTTTGAATCGAAATGATTTGATATCTTCTATACTATTAAAGCTGAAGTACAAAAAATTAGTGTTTGGAAACATGAATAGGTATTTAAAATTATAATGATTGGAAACAAGGATAGCCTACAAATCTAATGGGCTTATTTATTAAACTAAAGATTATTGCGGCCCAAAGTATCATTATTATTGTTTTTGGGTTTCTATCATTGATATTATTTTATTTCTGAAAATTATTTATACATATATGTATTCATGTTTTAAATGTATTTAAAATAAATCAAGAATAATATATATTTTATTTATATAATTTATATTGACTACTGTTATAAATTTTTAACAGTGATATACTAGCCTTTCAATTCTTCATTAAAAAATTAACTTAAAAATTTGAATAAATTGTTTAATGTATATAACTTTGCACCAAATTTAGCAAAAAAAAAATTTATAAACTATTAATAAAATGTTTACGGGTCATAATATTTTGCGACGCCCCTGTTACACAATACAGTGATGAAATACAATGTTTAAATAATGTACTATTACTTAGTCAAATTGGAACCATTAGATTGTAATTTTTGAAATGTTTATATATACCATAAAAACAAATACCCGCCCAGTCGGGCGGGTTATGATCTAGTTTGAATTAAATCCATAACTATATGTATGGTGTTTTGGGATATTATTGCAGTGGCTACACCAAAACAGATAAGGGAGCTTATGAAAGTTGATGGTTTGACCAACGATGAAGTCAAAAGTCATCTCCAGGTAACCTCCATGACAAGCCACCACAATATGCTACTTGTTTTATGAGCTTTTTTAACTAATAACTTGGTACTTTATGTTACTTTTAAAAAGAAATATCGGCTTCACACAAGAAGACCAAGCCCAAGCCCACAAACATCAAGTGGACAAGGTCCTCATTTAGTGGTCCTTGGTGGCATATGGGTTCCACCAGAGTACACCACTGCACACGGGGGCACTCCAACTCTCTACCACCACCAAGTTCACCACCACCATGGCAACGCGGCGACGCAGCCTCCACAACACTTTTGCTCCTCTCAAGAATTCTACACAACTCCGCCTACACAGCAGCCGCTCCATCACCAACACTTCCAAACATTTAACGGCTCATCCGGCGGTGGCGCCGCGTCCAGTGATTCAGCTCATCATCAGTTAACGGACAGTGCCACCGATGAAGGGAAGTCTCTCGAGAGTGGTGGTGGAGAGGGAAAAGGTTTGGCTGCTCTGAGGGAGGAAGGTGAAGATCAGAGTAATATCAATGGAAGTGAAATAACTCTCAAATTCTGAACAAAAAAAAATTATTCTTGATTAATTGTGGGAGAGATTCTTGGGTTAGGGTTTTTGTGGGTGGCTATGTGAATGTGACTAAATTCATTGCTTGTATCTCTCTATCTACTTCTTAGTATAAAAATGAACCCGTAGGAGGCATGAGTGTTTTAAAGTTATGATTAATTATCATAGTTGATCTTGTTGAATATTGTGTCACTTAATTAGACAATCATTGTATGTCATTTACTCTTATAACAAGCTAAATAAGATGTACTGTTTTGTCTTCTTTTACTTTAGTTAGTAGCTAATGCTCCTATGTTTAATACTCGGATAGCATTATGAATATTTGTGTAGGCGTTATACTCATGCCTAAATTGATTAATCAATCGTCAATGTGTTCATTTTTTTTTTTCGACACGAGTCACATATGCTGTATTGAAGTTTATACATCGATGTGAGTAGCTAAACGCTATATAATTACTTAATTAATTAGTTACTGTTTATATTTAGTTACTGTTTATATGCTGCATCTAAATCTGATCCGTAAACACAAGAGATAACTATTTTTTTTATTTTGCGACGCAAGTCACATAGCCTATATACATAACCGTTTTCTTGTCCTCTCTAACGGACTAGACATGGAGCGGTCCTAGAATGATCAATTATGCACTAAAAGTCAGCGAAATTCTTTGATTTTTCATCACTGCAAGTAATTTACTTGATGTCATAAACAAGTGTAAGCACTACTGAACCTGTATCTATTTTCTCAATATTCATGTGATCATATTACACTAGTATTTGCTGGCTACGACAAGTATTATTTGATGGCAAAATACTATAACTATGAAGAAAAATAAGCTCAAAATTTGGAAGGTGTTAAAATCATTTGGGTTATGAGAACGCATTTTGTTGGGAGGTAAATCTAAGTTCGGAAGGTACATATAGTGGTTTTGTTTTTTACTTAGAACCATTTTAATTTTGAAGTGAGCAACGACAATTAATGACATTAAAGTGTCACCTTCTCTTTAACAAATAAAATATAATTATAAATAGAAATATATTCAGCATAATTTTTTCAAAAAGGGCCACAAAGAAATTGAAACCTTAGTGACAAGGTTTTCCAAAGTAATTTTCTAATCCTATGAAATGCATTCGCAGAAAAAAAAACAAAATAATTAAATAATTAGTACTTGGTTTTTATTTTGAACAATGATACTGAAATTTTAATTAAAAACTGATGGATAAAACCAAATGAGTTCCGAACTAATAAAAACCTCTTATATTTGAAAATATATGAAAAAGTTTTCAAATAAACATTAAATAAATATTAAATAAAAAATAAATAAAAATAAAGAAGCAAAAAGGAGAAAAGGAAGGTTTTACGTTGAAAATTTCTAAAAATATACATGAGACTCACATTCTACTTGTATTTTTATTAGTTCGATTAATTTATATTAAAACTGAATTAAAACGTATTATATAAGAAAATTTTACATAAAAGTACTTAGATAAAAACTTGCATCAATATTTATGTTCTTAGATTAACTCTTACCTAAAATGGAAACAAATATATATCAGAAAATAAATCATAGATATGATCAAATTCAAATTAGTGTTTTTATTAGCTTTTAAAACTATGACAATGTGTAGTAATTTGGAAAATTAAGCATTTCATTAAATATTATCATTTGACTTAAAAACAGTATTTAAAAACCTAACCAGTTCAGCCGTGATTTAAGTCGGGTCCATTTCGGATTTGGATCAACCGATGATTGGAAAAATGATAAAACTGGTTAAAAATTGATAAGATCGGTGATTTGGTTCAATTTCAAAACCATATTCTAAAACTTCTAAATATAATTAATGTGTTTCCAATTTTAGTTGAAAGTTAATATTTTATAATTAATGTTGATTATCACTATTAATTAATTTTATATTTAATTCTATTTTTTTAATATAAAGTAATATTTTAACTTTTATGTACTATTCTTAGTTTGTCATATTTATCTGAGTTAGCATTTTAGTTATAAAAATAAATAAATATGATCATTTGAACGGTCAACCATTTGGTTTCAATTTCAGTTTACATAATATTCACTTGTTTAATATATACATAGTTAGATTTATATTTATTGTTTATTTTAGTTAATAAAAAATATACAATATATCATATGTACAAATACTTTTTAGGTCTATATAGTGTATATGATAATATATATATATATATATATATCTATATAATTTTTAAAAAATAAAAAATATGATTCGACCAATTGGATCAATCTAACCTAACCAATTATCCAATAGCTATACTGAATCAGTGTTTGATCTAGTTTCAAAAAAATGATAAAAATACTTTAGTTATTCATTAACTTTTTAATATTATTTCATTCTGTTTTGACTTTGTCTTCTTTTTTTTTTTAACATATTTTTTGTCTTACTAGATTAAATTTGCTGACATTATTACCTTTATAGTTAAATTATCTGGTAAATTACCATATAAATATGTTATAGTTTAAAATTTTACATGTCATTGTAGAAATTTTTTTTATTTCAAAATAAATGCCTTTTTATAATTTCAATACATAATTTATTAACTTTATATATTTTTATTAATTGAAATGTGGTTAGGTATATATATAATTGTGTTTTTATTTTGAAAATATGTAAAATTAAATACTTTATTAATTTGTATATAAAATCTAAAACGACAAATAAAATAAACTAGAGGGAGTATATAATAACAAAACTGAATAGAACCTCCTTTTAACCAAAAATGAAACTGAACCAAGATAATTTAGCATTTTCTTTTTTGTGCACGCAAAATTATCTAGCATAAAAGTTTAAATTTTGCAAAGAAATAACAAGTTACGTTCATACCGAGAAAACAGAACCTGCAGGCTGCAGAAACCATCAAACCGATGTTGAGTTAACTTTTGACCGGACACTTGGGTTAATAATTACCGTTTTTAGATTTAAAACAAAAAATATTACTACCTGTGAAATAACAATTATGATTAACTAATACGAAAGGAAAGTATTTATTAATTACCAAACATGGAATGCAGCGTGCACCAACTCAACTATACACGACTTGATGGCCAACTGGGCAAGGTTAGCATTAACGCACATATACTATGCAAAATATATTCTTAAAAAAATATTTTCTTAAATGTGTCAATTCTCAAGTTTCTTTCTCCGACGTAATTGTTTAGATGGAACATTAATCAGATACTTAAGAATTTTAATTTTTCATAATACCTTTATGGTCTCACGATCGAGGCACGATGACTTTGGTTATGCTGTTTCTATATTTTCACTAAAGGAATAATTAAACCGCATCAACCCATAAATGATATAGTTACAACTTTGGCATTATAATTGAACCCCAAAAAAAAAACTTTGGCATTAAAATAAACAGATATAATTCTCAGAAATTTAGCATGGACCATATATATTTCTTGAGAGTTTGGAGACATTGAAATTTCAGATTCTTGTCTGTGGTTAAACCTCGGAACTAGAGACAGGGTATGGTCTTATAATATCAAGTCACTTTTTTATAAACTCTTATCTTAAACTCTCCCCTTCTCTCTCAACACTGGCTTGTATCTTTAGCTTTGGTAGTTCATCATGAGAATGCTTCTTGGTCTCTTGTTTCTCTTGGTTTTAACCGGCTACTCAAGTAAGTTTTTCTTTCTGTTTCTTTGCCACCTTCTGTTTTATTTCTTCGGTAAAAGAAATAAATATTTTCAATATGGTCCAATCATAATGCTTTTTTATCCAAATCATATACTGTTCTTGAAGTTTCAAGCTTCAAACCGTTTTTCTTCTAGGTGCAACTTACTGTCTATGCCGAGATGGAGTTGCAGAGAAAGATCTTCAAACGACGATAGATTATGCATGTGGAGTTTTAGGAGATTGTAACCAAATCCATGACAAAGGTCCTTGTTACCAACCCAACAATGTCAAAGGCCATTGTGATTGGGCAGCGAATAGCTATTTCCAAAGAGCCGGTCAAGTTCCTGGAAGCTGTAATTTCTCAGGAACTGCTACTACCAGTCCAAATCTTCCTTCAAGTAACTCCTTAAATAAACAAATAAACTAAACCTTTGAAATCAAAACTTGTTGGTTTGATGAACTAAAAGCTGCAATAATTTTTTTGATAATTTTCTCTGTTTTGTAGCTGTGGTTACTGGTTGCATCTATCCTTCAAGTCCTGGGTATGTTTACTGAATTAACTTAAATTAAACAATGGGCAAAGCAATTTTAATTTCATTTTTGATTCTTTATTCCGTCCACACCACCAAGACACTAGCCACCAACCACTTTCTACAGCTGCATTGACAATAAAAGTTCCTTTTCGTTTCTTTATATTCAAGATTTGGTATAAGACATTGTGTTTGGTTTCAACTTGTTTATGATAACGTGACTTAAAAGTTTTACGTTTTCACCTACTTTGTATTAACAGGAATGCAGGGACAGGAGCTCCAGGGACACCGACCTTTCTAGGACCTCCTGCGTTTGGTCCGGCCGGAGGTTTTGATCCTTCAGGGAGTGATGCTTTGAGTTTGCTCACTTCAATAGCAGTCACACTTGGTTTCTCCGTCGTCGCGTTTCTATAAAAGGCAGTAGTAGTGTGACTAGAAAGTGGGGTTAAGAATTTTAATCTACGGATGAAGTTTTGCCACGTATGAATGCAAGTTCCTTGAAGCAGACATCCACCTAGTGTTGCTTTTCTTCATGTTTAGGCTTTTCTGATTTATGTTTGTTTCTTTCTTTCATGTATGCAATGCAATGTAAGTAAGAGTTAATGGCATCTTTCTTTTTAAGTGTTATATGCTTACTGAAAATAATACTTAACATAATGAGAATATATTGTAAAATTATTGTCGCTTCAAGATTTTGTGGACGTGCTGAATGGGTTGGATGTGATCTATTGTTGGACAAAAGAAAACGTAACTTCAAACCAAAACATCAAAACCAAATAAAACATGTTTATAAAAAAATTGATTTTAGCAATTTGGAAGCTTCATCATACCGAACCAAAATCATACAAAAGTAGTAGAACTTATCTGGTTTTCAAAACGAGAATGTAATGATGATATGACAAGCGCTAGGTTGGGTGATTTCTTGAAAGTCTCAAGATCATGAAAACAACTTCTCAATTAAAGAACAAGTAAAATCAGTCTTATACAACAAGGCGAGATCTACCCACTGTAATACTGATCATTTACCAATCAATTCTCTAATATCTAAATTGTCTTTTGAACCAGAAATTGAAGACAAGCATAAGTGATCAACTAATCATATTCGAAAAGTTCATGGTTCGTCTTAGCATCAACTATCATTGGCTAAAAACAAACCACCTATCTATATCCATATTTTTAATAACCTAAACCACTTTAATGGATAAAATTAAACTTAGATTTATACACTAAGTGATTAATAATATAACACACATAGTAAAATAAACGATAGATAGAGAAAATCAAAGAATAGATCATTACTAATATTTAGTTCACTAATCCGTGATTCCCTAGAATCCTACACCTAACTAGGCGACTACTCAAATAGAGATAATGAACACAAAAATCAATGGTGAAGAAGACATATGCATAAATTGACTCAAAGTTATAAAAAGAGTTCATAAATTTTTCTCAGGTGTAATGGATATTCTTCTCCCTTCAAATCATACAAGTCTTATGTTCTCTCATTAAAGTTGTGTAAATTCAAATTCTTCTTAAAAAGATAGAGTACATGCGACTTTTTTTTCTTTCCATAATAGGATAATTGGCAATAATTAGGGGAACTAATCATAACGCAACTTGAGATTTATTTTATACAATATGTGAAGCTAAGTTCTTTCTAAATCTGGATCTACCAATCAAATGGTAAGCTAAGTTTTGTTTTGTCCTGTCTCTCTTCTCTGTTGTCTGTTCTTCCTCAATGTTACAAAAGCTTTTAAAAGGTACACTCTTTCAAGAAACCCACGTACTACTCAAAGATCTTAGTCTGTTTTCTTGTTGCTTCTCTAAGAACCCAAAAGATTTTCTCTTTGTGTTACTTTTTTTGTTTTCCATTTTCACCTTTTCCTGACTCCTTAATATATATCTTTAATGTTCTTTAGTGGAACAGAAGTTTGAGTTTCATGCAGATCTTCTAGTATCAGCACGAGTATTGTATTATGTTTCTTCAAACTTTACGTGAACACATGCTAGTTTCACTTTATCACGAGACATTGAATATTTGATGACCGAAGTGTCTCACTTCTTTTCTTTGATGCAGATTTTTTTTGTGAGATATATACCATAGAGAGAGAGAAAGATGTATATGTTAGAGAGCAAAGAAGGAGCAATCATTTGCATGTTATTGGCTCTGCTCTTCTTAGGGACATGGCCAGCAATCATGACTCTAACCGAACGACGCGGTCGACTTCCTCAACACATTTATCTTGACTACACACTCACAAACCTGTTAGCTGCAGTTACCATAGCGTTTACACTAGGCCAAATAGGTCCAAGCAGACCTAATTTCCTCGCACAGCTTTCTCAGGTCAGTTACATCTCTTTGATAAAAATCTTGCAGCTATTTTATGTTTGTTATGACAGGATAATAAGGAGTCTGTGATGTTTGCAATGGCTGGAGGAATAGTTCTTAACCTTGGAACCTTAGCAACACAATATGCTTGGGCTTTTGTTGGTTTATCTGTCACTGAAGTCATCACTGCTAGTATCTCTGTTGTTATTGGTAAACTCTTCAGTCTCCAACTACTTTTCAACTATCATCTTCTCCTGACATGAGATTTTTGGTTATTTCATTTCTTTTTTTTGCATAGGAACAACGTTGAATTATTTCTTGGATGATAGAATCAACAGAGCTGAAATCCTTTTCCCGGGCATCGCTTGTTTCTTGGTAGCTGTTTGTTTAGGCTCAGCTGTTTATAAATCCAATGCAGCTGATAACAAATCCAAACTCCAAGAATTCAAAAGGTTTTTAAAACTAAAGATTCACTACTTGTTCTTTGTGTTGGCTTACTTTGGTTCTGGTCTGGAACTAATCTTTGATTCTTGTTTCAGTTTAGAGAATGTTTCATCCTACCAAATGGAGACAAATCCTGCAAACGGGTTAGCTCAGGAGAAAGGGAGTGCAGCTTTTCTTATAGAGCTTGAGAAACAAAGAGCTATAAAGGTTGAAAGTAACTTTATCTTTTCTTTAACAAAAAGTAATACCATCTCTGAAAGCTCAAGAGTTGTGTCTATAGGTTAATGGGAAAAGCACAATAACTGGACTAGCTATAACTTTCTTTGCTGGTATCTGTTTCTCCCTCTTCTCACCTGCATTCAACTTAGCGACAAACGATCAATGGCACACTTTGAAACATGGAGTACCTAAACTCAATGTGTACACAACTTTCTTCTACTTCTCAGTCTCTTCATTTGTGAGTGGTGTGATACTTAACATCAAGTTTCTCTATTGGCCTATACTTGGTCTCCCAAGATCTTCTTTTAAGGCTTACCTCAATGACTGGAACGGTAGAGGATGGTCTTTGATGGCTGGAGTTCTCTGTGGTTTTGGTAATGGTCTTCAGTTTATGGGTGGTCAAACCGCTGGCTATGCAGCTGCAGGGGCTGTTCAGGTTTTGATCACTAGTAACATATTCTCTGGAGAGAATTAAAAAGAATAAAAATACATAATCTTTATACTTTTGATTTTCTTGGGGTTTCAGGCACTTCCACTTGTGAGCACTTTTTGGGGGATAATGCTGTTTGGAGAGTACAGAAGATCATCAAGAAGAACATATATACTTCTTACCAGTATGCTCTTCATGTTCACTGTTGCAGTTGCGGTTCTTATTGCCTCATCAGGACATAGAAAATGATATGGAAAAAAAAAAGACAAAGTCACACTAAAACATAAGCAAAACAACCAAAGGGTGTTTATTTTGATTGGTATTTTTAATAAGTCGACTCGATATTTTAATTTTACTACCCTAAACTCTCCCTAGTCTCCAAGACCTTCCACTCTCTCATCTTTTCCAATGAGCTACACTTTGCACGGCATCGCTCCAAAACACGTGAACACGTCCTTCACGTCTGCTTAAAGTTACCCGATAACCATCTTCCTTCGTGGTACAGCCTCTGGATAAAACCTGGTCAAACCCTAACCAATGAGTTGAAGGAGAAGAATAATAAGTCTACCAGAAGAAACACTCTGTTGGTACCAATACCTTCTTCATATTCTCCTCGTGTACCAGGATTATATCTAGGTAAGTTTAGTTCAAAACACTATAGACTCAGACAATCCAAAAAATCTCCCAGTTCATCCCTACTCTTGGTCCGTAATAGTAAGGTTCTCACTCCATGGGGTGAACCTAAATATTCCCCATGGCGTAAAGCCCCTAGAATGAAAGTGGCTCGAGAAAACGTCATCGCCGGGGGCCCTTGATGGGAAAATATATGTAATGGGAGGTTGCAATGCAGAAGATTCGGCGAGTTGGGCTGAAGTTTTCGATACAAAGACTCAAACTTGGGAATCTTTACCTGACCCTGGCCCTGAGCTCCGCTTCTCTTTGATTAAGACAATGAACGTGACCAAGAGAAGGGTCTACGTTGAGAGCATCAGAGAGACTGATCATTATTATAATCCAAAAGAAGGTAAATGGGGAGTTTCATCAAAAGCACACAAGGTAGGGAGAAAGTGTGAGATTGGTCATGTTAGGTACTCTTGTAGTAAAAGAGGTTTGTTTTGGTACAACACAAAGCTTAAAGACTGGAGAATGGTCAAAGGTTTGGAGGTATTGAACAAGTATTGTTGTGTTGGTGTTGTTGCAATAGCTAATTACGGTGGGAAACTCTTAGTTTTGTGGGACAAGTTTGAGCAGAAGCATGATGATCAGTCTCAAAATTACAAGGAGATTTGGTGTTCGGTTGTTGCGCTTGAAAGGCGTAATGATGTTGAGGAAGTTTGGGGAACTGTTGAGTGGGCTAGTGTTGTGCTTACGGTTCCTAGTTCATACGATTTCTTGCGTTGCCAAGTGAAATCGGTTTGACGTTTTGCTTTCACCACTACCAGTTGCTTTGTTTTGTTTTTATCAACTTTTTTAGTGTATTGTTGCTTTTAGATTTATTTCTGTAATCAAGCAGTAGTTTAAAATCAACTGTTCTAGTTAAGTTCTTGGCCTACATCAGTGGGTAAGATACTATTCTGCCATGGAAGAGACCCGAGATTATGTAACTCAGTCATATATACACCATTAGGATTTAAGCATATTCAAGCTAAACTAATTTTAAAATAGTGACATTTCAAAATGTAACTTTTAGTGTCAATATGATGCGAAGCTTGTTTGGAAAGCAAGCAGTTTTAGGTCAAAGAGAATCAGAGTTTGACTTTTTTGCTCAAAAATAGAGAAAAAGTCATCTTTACTTCTTGTACAAGTATGATAATGTTAAGACTGATGAAAAGAAAAAAAATTATAATTTCCTATTTACACAATAATTTGTTAATATATCTATACTATTATTTGCGAAGTGATTATATGTTATGTGGCTTTTATCATCACTTTTTCAATACCCAAAATCTTGGATTAAGCCTAAACTGAGTTTGACACTGAAAATTATTAGCTGTTCATTTTCACAAAGGCTACAAGAGTAACTCAAGGATCTCACTAACATAAGAAAAAAAAGTTTTAGAGAGGGAACACTTTCTTGTGCTTGAAGTATAACACGAAACCAAAATACAAAAGTCCACATCCAATACCTGTAACAAGTAAAACCCATTGGAACATGGTCGGATCCTTGAAAACAGAGTCTTGCAGATTCATCCCGAAAACCGCGGTTACAGCTGCAAAAATGGCTGCCACAAAGGTTGCTGCGGTGAGAAGCAGTTGAAACTGAATCAACTGATTCTGTACATTCCCCTAAAGAAACAGAGCATAGTCACAAAGTCAGAGAGTAGGGATGAGACAAGAATAACAAAGCTTGGTTTTGTCTGTTGTTACCAGCTTAATGTTGATCAGATCCTCTGTATCATCAATATACTCTTTCAGCTGCAAACACAAGATCATAAATCAAAATATTGAATAGAAAAAAAAAATCTTGCTGTGAAAATTTTTAAGAATCTAACCGATGATAATTTGCTGAGTGTGTTATCAACAACAACGAAGTAGGCTTCTAGCAACATCTCTAGCTGGTCAATGTTCTCTCCACTGCTAGAGGAGCTTAACAAGCTTCTATGTGAGCCAACAACGCTGCTGAATGCTCTTTGAAGCTTCCCAAGGTTTCCACTAAGTGAACCAACAGGTGAAACCGGCGCAGACTTGGAAACTATTCCAGAAGATTCAAAGTCCTCATGGAGGTTGTCTTCTAACTCCACTGAAGCATGAGCCTCTGATCTTTCTTTCTTCTCAGTCAAATACATCTCAGCCATGTCGTCATCATCATCCATTAAATGTTCTATTTCATCACAAACCTGCAAGTTTCAAGAAACCTCCCAAAATCACAATGTATGGTACCAATTTTTCTAAATTTTGAAGAGTTCTTTGTGTGTATTACCTTCTGAACTTTCTGTGTTAAGGCAAGGAGGCGACCTTTTAATCTCCGTACATGTTCTAGATTAAGTGTGCTGATGTTTGAGGCTAGTTCATCAAGAACAGGATACACTTCCATCTCTAACTCATTCACCTATTTAAAATCAAATCCACCAAACGCTTTTGAGCTTTTAACTATCTTGAAGAATGATCTTAGAGGCAAATGGGGGCATACCTGTGCATCTAAAGACAAGCAAGATAGTTCCAAAACCAGCTCCAACGCTTTAAATTCAAACGGCAAATCATCTGAAAACCAAAACATACAACAGTTCTTTATGTTATCAGCAATCTAAACCAACTCCAAAGCCACCAAAGCTAATAATATCAAAAAATCAACTGACCTTTGAGATTCAAGTTTTGGTTAGACTGGAGGCGTTTACAGAGTTCAGACTGGTACTGAGCAACAGACGCATCCCTAGCATTCATGAGAATAACCTCCTCGGCTGTGATTATACATCTGATCTTCTCAAGACTCACCACTATCGCTCTCTCACGCCCCAAGATACTCGAAGGGTAAATAAACAAAGGGTCAAGTAGCCTCAAATCCCTTGACGGCAAGGAACAACGCTTCATTATAGTTGCCTTGTCGAGCTCTAGAACCGTCGAGTTCCCATTCTCATCAATCTTGACCCATGAACGACTAGACTGCCCTCTCTTCTTGAGGCCAGAGTAAGGATGCCCACGGTTGCTCTGTCCTTCAAGAGTAACCGGTCTACCGATCTTTTGGGATGATATGAAATCAGGTAGAGTGGAAGTGGTAAATGGATCTGGTTGTTCTCCCATGTTTCTATGTATTATCTTCTCTTGCTTACAAGTTTGAAGGTAAAGCTTACAGAAACAGTTTCCAACCTGAAAACAACAGTCTCTCTCTCTAAGGAGTTAACAAAGAGAGAGAGAGAACAAAAGGCCTTGCTTTCGTTAAAGACATACTCAATGACACAGTGAAACCTAGAAGAAGCAAAAGAAAACACTTTTCTAGAACATAATGAATATTTTTACAAGACACTGTGTTGATGGTAACTCTAAAATTACCAAATCAATCTAGATTGAATAACTGGGTATTGAGTTCTTAATCGAGAAATTAAGAAAAGCCAGAGACTTTACAGTAGAGGATGATCAAATTCAGTAGACAATTTCTCAAATTCGAATCCTTTAGACTATAGAATTTACCAATCGCCGGCGATCAATGAGGTGGATATTCCCGAATTCATACGATCAAACAAAGTAACAATTCATGAAAGTAATCATGATATTGACAAGAGAGATTACACAAACCCTAAGATTCCAGAAAAAAAAAGGAGATTCACCTTTCGTTTCCAATCTATTTCAGTTTCCCAAGCAGCAGAGGATGAAGAGCAATGAGACTTCCTCTGTTTTACACAGCAGTAACAACAACGCCTTCCTTTCTTTTAACCAGAGACAAGACAAACTGACAAAGGTATATCAAGCCACGTGGAGACTACCTAATGAACGGAACACGGTTAATAAACATCAATGAACCCCATCTTGGGGTTCATTGAATCAATTTTTTATTATTAAAATTTTTTTGTTTTCCTTTTGATTTTCTTTTTTATTTTAAAAAAAAAAAAAAAACCTAAATCAATCCCGGGCCGCCACGTGGTGAACCTCAGGAGAGAGGGGTTCACCCGAGAGAACTTTAGGGAGAAGGGTTCATAGAATTTTGTTATTTTATTAATTTTTTTTCTTGATTTCCGTGTGAACTCCCCCCATAAACCCTCAATGGGGGTGCTCTAACATAGACCAAACTTTAGGAGATCAGCTTCTAAAGTTTGATACAGAAAATGCGAGCACTAAAGCCACGTCATCATCAAATGAAAAAGTGGAACAGAGTACGAGTGTTACAAAAAAAAAAAAAAAAACAGAGTAGGCTGGTTATTTTCTTTCATCCAAGAAAATAGTGTGAGTTTGTTCGTTTTCAACTTTTATGGTATTGATATATTCCTGTAAACTTTCTAGGAAAACTACTCACGTTGTTCTAGAATCCTTCTTTCGTGGTTCTGAGTAGGAAAGCAGAAGCATCCAACAATGTGTAGGTGGTTCTCATGCTTTCCTACATGTCCTTTGGTGTTGTTCTTCAACTCCTTCATGTCATGTTAAGTTATACTAAACAATTTAACCAGTTAAAATGAATCCAAATTTGAGCATGTTAAGTTATACTTAACAAGTTGTTTAGGATAATCAAATGGTTTAAACTGATGAAAGAACAAGGGTTCAAACCAATTATAATCCAAAAAATTCCCCCAAAAGAATCATAAGTTCTAGCCCTTCCACCTTCCAAAAAAGTCACTGATTTTCAAGAAAATAAGTCTAGTTTTTGGACTGAGCATTGCCATGACCGTTCTGAGAAGCTTTGGCATCACCGCCCAGTCTCTCAGTCCCGTTTCTCCCGGAGCCTCTTCCTCCATTCACACCATTGCCCCGAGGTCTATACCCGTCCCTTCTGTAACCATTCTCGTTCCTATTGTTACCATTGTTTCGCACATAGGCTCTCCCACCATTCTCATTGTTGTTGACTGAACAAGAATTCAAAAAACACAACAGTCAAGATTATCATCTTTTATCATGTTTCATAAAGTTTTATCATGTTGGAGACAACAACATTGCCATTAAGAAACTTGCCTCGTTTTTCTTCAATAGATGCTCTTCTGTTTCCGATATAAATTGGAGATTCCTTGTGAGCCTAGAGTTGTACACACTCCAATATCAGAAAAGCAAAAACAAGAACTTCGAATTATACTTAAAGTTTGAGAACTTGATGAGCAAAAAGTATACCTTGAAGACATTTTTGATCGATTCACTATTTTCAAAGGCCACAAACCCAAAACAGTTTCTTTGTTCCTGAAAACAAAAATGATTTTTAAGAGTTTTCGAAAGCACACAAATTGTTTTTTCTCATAGTTAAAGATCATTTTAAAGAAACTGACCGTGTAACTTCTGACTTGGATGCCACCTTTTCTAATAGCTCCAAAGCCTTTAAATGTTTCAAACATTTGCTCTGGAGTTGCATCCATAGGCAAGTTTGCAACGAATATGGAACCACCTTGTCCTTGAGCTGGTTGTTCACTGGTTCCAGCAGAAGGAGCTTTGGTCTGAGGAGCAGCTACTGGTGCTTGAGCTTTGGTCTGAGGAGCAACTCTCGGCTTTTCAACAGGTTTAGGCTTTGCTGGTGAAGCTTTAGCATTGAACTGAGCACCGTTTTGAGCAGCCTATATGTTTTGAAATCAACTTAGAGATTAGACTTTATTCCAAAGAAAAAAAAAACAGAACATGAAACTAAACACAACGAAGACTCACAATCACTGCAAAGGATTTCTTAACACCAGCATCCTCTTGAGGTTTTGCTTCAGCGGCAGCTTTAGGTAAGTTGCTGTTTCCATTCACAACTACCTCCTCCTCATTTGTAGCTTTAGCAGCCGGCTCCACAACTTCTTTTGCAGGCTCTGCTGGTCAAGTAGCAACAAACATGTGAATCAAACCAATATTCAACAATGTAAATTTCCGAGTTCTTGATTCGTTGAAAACACTACTTACCAGGGACAATTTCTTTTGGACTCTCCACGATATCAACCTCAACCTCCTTGGTAGCTTCTGGTTCAACAAACCCATCAGAAACGTACCTAAATACATCGTTGAGAACAAAGTAGCTTCCATTCTGCGGCACAAGGAAGAAAGACTGAGTAAAACTCTTCCTCTCTCCATCCTTCCCAATCACCAAACCAGCGACCAGAGTCACAACTGCGTTCTTCAAAGACGCTTGGGAATCAGCAGTAAGAATCTGAATCTTGGAGTTTTGGTAGTCAACAGACATTATCTGATCATTAATAGCCTGCAAAGATTTCGTCAAATAAATAAAACCTAAACAAAGACATAAATACTATAGCTTAGTTTAAAGCCAGGGGACTTACTTTCAATGACTTGACGGAAACCATTTTACCATCAAGACCAGGCCTTCCAAGCACACTCTCCTCGAGATAGAATCTGTAAACTTCAGCAGGCTTTTCATAAAGATGGGTGTAGTATTTCTGAACGAAGGCGTTTCCTACAATCTGTGCATCCACTGATGGAGCGTTTGATACAGGTGTCATCTCTGCATTAATCCAAATCAGAAACTAGTAAAGAGTACAGAACAGAAACAGAGTCCTAAGCAGTAACAACCACAAAAACAAAAGAGTTGTTTCTTTATCCACAAAGACCAGAATGAAACAAGACAAGCCGTAATCAAATACTCCAATTCAAACAGAGTATGTTCAGTTACACAAAACTTTAATGCAATAATACATTAGATTCCCAGAGAATCTTGCGGTTTTACAATAAAAAGTTAATTGCAAGTAGGGTTGTACTAATTACATAGGCTTACTGTAATTGAAAGTGAGCATATTTAAGGCTTAAGCATAACTTCTATAGATCTATATAAGGGCTAGATATTGAGAAAAGAGTTAGGTCTAAACTATACTGCAATTGAACCCTCAGAAAAGAGGGGGAAAACCTTTGTGGTAGAGAAACAGCAGAAACTTAATTAGACATAACTGAGAAGTCCGAAATCATACCTGGTAATCTATGAAGGTTTTGAGATTAGAGGGAAGGAGGATGAGGAAGAAGAAGATTTTGTTTGTGATGTTTGTGTATGTGTATATATATGCCTTTTAGGGTTTTACTCTAAATCCTTCTCCTAAAAGAGATTTGGGCATTTGTCAAAAAAAAAAAAAAAATAAAAAAAAAGGAGATTTGGGCCAATTAATTTGATTTTATTCTTTTTGCACTTTTGGATACTATCCATTAGTATTACGCCACGTAATCATATCCGAGTAATGGAATGTTTTATCTGATTTCGTGTTAATCAGGCTGAAAATAGCCAAAAATTAGAGGATGAAGCCCCCGGCGAGGATCGAACTCACGACCTTTCGCTTACGAAGCGAACGCAATACCACTATGCTACGGAGGCGCTTTGTTTATCATCTTTAACTACAGTTTAAAATTGAGTTATTGGCGCACAGACTAAAGCAACTTCGATCTACTGTTGACGAGAGGAGACCAGAGAGAGAGAGACGCCGCCGGCGATTATGTGCGGTATTGCAGTTATTGTGTGCGGCGTTCGTATCAAACTCTCGACGCTTTCGTCTCCCTTGGAGCCTCCTTTCGAACGAGTAAATCTCTGCTCCCACCTCACTTTAAAAGTTTGGAGCTTTTGAAACTTTTGGGTTTAAAGTTAAGGGCTTTTGCTCTGTTTCAAGTACCCATTGCTCTTATGTTATTGTGTGTTGGATGAATCACAAACTCTGTTTTTGACATCTAAAAAAAAAGATCACTCTTTTGAGTTTTGTTAGTAGCACACTCTGTTTTTACTGGTAACTTGAATTTGCTGATTTGGTGTTTTCTTGGTTAAACCAGTTAAAATTCTCTGTTGAAGATGTGAAATCTGTGTTAAGCCAAAGGGGTCCTGATAGTGTAGGGGAAAAGAAGATTCTTCTTGAACCTAAACTACCAACTTGTGCTCAAGAATCTGTTACTCTCTCTGTTTCTGAGGCTACTGAAGAGACTTGTAACCTTGAGAATGCTACTTCTTCCGGTGAATTGCATTTTATAGGCTCCACATTGCAGCTTAGAGGAACTAGTCCTATAATCCAGCCATTGGTTGATTCTTCCAGAAACATTCTAGCTTACAATGGTGTGGTTCTCTTCTTAAGCTCTCTATATTTGCTTTAAATTCTACGATATGGATTGGTAATGTGATATGTTTACTTTACAGGAGAAGTATTTGGAGGAATTGAACTTAGTAGCTATGATAATGATACTGAAGTTCTTTTGAAGTCTTTAGAGAAGGCAAACACTTTAGTTCCAGATGTTCTTTCGATGATTAAAGGCCCCTGGGCCATTATATATTGGCAGGTAATTTTGTAACTTTCCTCTATTTTTTTCTTAGCATTTTACTTGCTCTTACAAAACTTCTTCTCTATCAGGAAAGCTCAAGAACGCTATGGTTTGGTAAAGATGCTTTTGGTCGGAGGAGTCTCCTTGTTCACTGGCCAACTGTGGAAGACCCTCGTTTTCTTCTATCGTCTGCTTCACCAGCTTCTTCCGTTGCTAATGGATCTGGTTTGTATTGCTTTGTAGAATAAGCTTGTCTACACTTCAAGCCCAAGTAACATATGTTCTTTGGCAGGATTGGATTCTGAAAATGGTGATAGCATTCATAGGTTTTGGGAAGAGCTTCCATGTGGAGTGTATAGCATGTCTTTTGGGGTTTCAGAATCAGGTTTATGTCTATGTGGTGAAGTCACAAAGCACGAATGGAGAAATAACATGTGGAAAGAGTTGATTGAATGGGAAAGGGATTTAGTTGTACCAAGACCTGAAGATCTATCAATATCTTCAATTCAAGAAGAGAAAGACAATGCTCTTTCAACGTTTTCAGGTACTGCTTAAGTTCGTCAGACTCCTTCAGTTTTGTCAAAATTTCATATGTCTGACAAGGTTTAGTTCTAGGATTTGCGCAGACAGTTTTGGTTGTTCTAAAGGAATCAGTAAGGCGGCGAACTTCACTGCATAGCATTTTTCAGGTATGAGATTTTTAATGATTGCTTTAAATGATTTGTGAATATTACCTGAGAAATACCTTCTTATTGGCATGAACAGGGAGAAAAGGAAGCTGTTCCAGTAGCTGTTCTTTTCTCTGGTGGATTAGATTCTATGATTCTCGCTGCACTCTTGGATCAGTGCCTTGATCCAAAATGTAAGCAATTTTCTGCAATGTTTTCTTAAGTTAATTTTAGATTTTCAAAACTGTTTTCTTTCTTTCAGATGAAGTTGATCTCCTTAACGTCAGCTTTGATGGTCCTAATGCTCCTGATAGGATCTCGGCCAAGGCTGGAATACAGGAACTTAAAAAGATTGCACCCTTGAGAAGGTTTGAACTCTAGATACCTTTCAAAAATGCATAAATCTACTACTTAATATTGCTGCAAATGTTCCTGGGAATTTCAGGTGGAAGCTTGTCGAGATTGATGCTGATCTGCCAAAGTTAACTTTGGAGACAAAGCGTGTTATGTCACTCATAAATCCCGCAGATACGTACATGGTAAATTTCAGCCTTGAGAATTTCTCATTACATTCTTCCAAACATGAAGGTTTCTGATTACATTCTTCCAAAATTGCAATGTTCTAGGACCTTAACATAGGAACAGCACTTTGGCTTGCTGCTAGAGGTGATGGTTGGATTCAAGAAGAAAGTGAGAATCATGAAGATAGCCAACGAATTAGATATAAGTCTGATGCTAGAATATTGCTTGTTGGCGCTGGTGCTGATGAACAATGTGCTGGTTATGGTAGACACAGAACAAAATATCGAAACGGGAGGTATATGTATAAACATGTCTGCATTTTCTCTATATATGCAAACGAATAATAAACTTATCACGCAAGTTTTGTTAATTGTTCAGCTGGGCTGCCTTGGATCAAGAAATGAAATTGGATATGCAGAGAATTTGGAAAAGAAATTTGGGTCGAGATGATAGATGCATTGCAGATAATGGTAAAGAGGTATATGTCCTCAGCACACCATGGATAGAAACTCAAGTCGTTTTCTCTTTGTCCTCTGTTCTCAAATGTTTTATTTTTTTTTATTATTTTTTTTTTTTTTGGAACATTTTTGGGCTCAAATGTTTTATATAATACATTTTTTTCAGGGGCGTTTCCCTTTCTTAGATGAGGATGTTATAAAGACTCTACTTGACATTCCCTTGTGGGAAATAGCTGATCTTGAACAACCAAGTGGAAAGGGAGACAAGAAGATTCTTAGACAGGTGAATATGCTTCTGTCATTTTTTTCTATTTAGAAACCTTCAAGAACGTATTAGAAACTTCATAAACCCAAAATGTTACTTAAAATCTTGAAGGTTGCAAAGTTGCTTGGGTTACATGAAGTTGCAAAGATGCCTAAAAGAGCAATACAGGTAATAAGAGAATTTTCTAAAGATAACTCAAACTTAAACCAGTAAAGCTGAAAGCCTTGTGTGTTTTCAGTTTGGGTCGAGAATAGCTCGTGAATCAAATAGGAAGAACTTTGGAAGTAACCGAGCTGCAAACCAAGCCTCTGCTGGGAGCGTGAAATTCAACGCACCATGAGAATGAAAGACCTCTCATATTTATCTCTATACAACTGTTGTCAGATCACATTTTTGTGTTGTTTTCTATACAAATGGCTACTATTTCATGTTTTCCCGTTTGAAAACTTTGTTTGAGATACTGCAAGTGCATACACACAACATGAGACTAGGAGAGGACGTAGATCTCAGAAAAATCGCAGAGGAAACCGAGCTCTTTACTGGCACAGAGCTGGAGGGTCTGTGCAGAGAAAGCGGAACAGTCTCTCCTAGAGAAAACATTGCAGCAACGGCTGTGTATAATCGCCATTTCTTAACCGCAAAGAAGTCGCTTAAACCTGCATTGACAGTTGAAGAAGTTGAAGCTTATTCATCATTCATGAAGTGATCTTGATGTTGCTTGTTACTGGAAACTATTACTTTAACCAGAATAGAAATGATGATTGATGAACTACTATTAGCTGCTGATGCTGCTACATGAATCTTTAAAAAAAAAGTCTCTTGTCATTTTGTTTCAAAGTTTCAAAATTTCAAAATGGTAAAAACGGCTAAAAATGAGATTCAGACAAATGACAAAGACTGGCCATTACCATTTAATGGCCCCACAAACCTCACTCTCTGTTGAAAATTTTGTAATCATGGGTTACCGTCGTGAATTACGTGAAAAGCACCAATAATTACACTAGTTTTTTTTTGTCTCGTGTTACTAATTGAATAATGTTTAGCTCCAAATACCAAAAATAATCATCTCAAATTCGTCAAACCTCCTACAAAATTCCCCGGTTTTAGAAACTCTCTTCTGAATATAAAGGAAACTACATAACCGATCAGTTAAACCGGAACTCTGACATTAGCAAAACCGGTTCGAGCTTATATAATATACTGATTCGCTTGTTATGACTCAGTAGTCAGTTCTCCTTCCATTTTGCGTCTTCTTTTCTTCTTCTAGATCTGATCTCTCCCTTTTCACCCCAAAGGTTTGTTTCTCAAACTCCCATCTTCACCAGATCGATTCCTCATAGATTTTTATACCTGAATTATGCTCTGTATCCTTCTCTATCGCTTCCGTTGATTCAATACTTGTGACAATTGGTGATTTTTGGATAGATCTGATTTGTTTGTGTTTTTTTTTTTTATTCTTGCTAGGTTTTAAAAAAGTCTATCACTTTATTACAAATGGGTCGTGGAAACAGCTGTGGTGGAGGTCAAAGCTCACTCAATTATCTCTTTGGTGGAGGTGGTGATGCTCCTCCTCCTAAGCCCTCTCCAGCTCCTACTTCTGAGCCTGCACCTGCACCTGTGACTGCAACCGCACCCACAACAGCTACTACTAGTGTTGAGCCTGCAAAGATCAACAAGGAGATCCCTGCTGGTATCAAAACTCCTGTCAACAATTACGCCAGAGCTGAGGGACAGAACACCGGAAACTTCATCACTGTATGTTTTTTTTTTCTGTTTCTATACATGAAATGAAATGTTGCCTCTCTAAAACATCATTGTAATAATGCTCTCTGCAGGACCGTCCTTCCACCAAGGTTCATGCTGCTCCTGGAGGTGGATCGTCTCTTGATTATCTCTTCACTGGTGGCAAGTAAAGACAAAACATACATTGTGTGTGTTTGCATTCTCTCAATTTAAAACTGTTTGATGTGAGCCTTTAAATGATAAGAAGTCGGTTTCTTGTCTACCCTATCTCATTCGTTTATCTTGTAATGTTTCTCCTCCAAAATGTTCAAATTATATAAATCAAAAACACCTTCTTATTACCCAACAAGTTCACTGAATCAAACAGATTCTAAAACAAATTACCAGTTCTGTTTAAACCAAGTACAAGTCTTTTCTCAAAAGTACTTTAACGGATCATTTAGGATGTTGAGGAGCAGTGATGATCCCCCATTTTCTCCGGACCTGCTCCAAATCCTCATCGAAATGACGCTCATAGTACACACACATTAGGTCTGTACACTGTCTTCCAGCTCTAACCGCCCAAGGAAAGTAATGCTTAAAGAACATTGACCTCTGCTTCTCGTTAAACCTCACAGTTCCTCCAATCACAGAAAGCATGCACATCGGAAGATACATCTGCTCAAACTCAATCACTTTCAGAGCCGACTCACCCATAAGATTAGTAGGAAGTCCGAAGAGAGTGTGCCACAAGTCGTGAACTTCACGTGCCCTTGTTGCCACATAAGCCAACTCATCTGTCTCCATGAACCTCACAGGAGGACGATCATCAGGAGAGAAGTTTCTGGATCCCATGAACTTCGCGTATGCAGCTCCGAACGTGTTGTCTGGTAGATCCCAAGCGTGACCTACTTGCTCCGACACAACACGAGGACGCTCCAGCAAGATAGCCTGACAGAGAGAGATAAAAAAAAAGAGACAAGATTTAAACCAAAGACTTCAACTTTATTGTTCAAGAGAAAGTAATAATCATAACCCATAAGCAAAGTCTCTTGTTTCAAAAAAAAAAAAGAAAAAAGTCTCTTGTTTCAGACAGCAATGGTAATAATCAGACAGGACTAATCATTACAGTAATGGTAATAAGAGAAGACAAGAGAAACTTAAGAAAAGACTCACTCTTCCTTCAGGACTCTTCTTCATCCTCTCAAGAACCATTTCGAAAGCTGGTTTTCCGGTGGTTTCACCGAGAGCGGCGATCAGATCCGCCCTACGAGGGTTTACCAACGCGCCGACGGCGGAACCAACCGCTACTGCGGCTTGTTGCCACCGGCTCAACGGGACTCGAGCTCTTTCGATCGTCATAGTTCGTAGAGATCTCTCTCCGTGAACCTCTTTTAATATTCAGACCAAAAATCTATAGACGGCGACGACAAGGAGTTTAGATGACACGCGCTTTTGTCCCTCGCGTGGAGTTTCTATTTTTATGATTTACTATTGGGCTTTTAATTGTGTCATCTCAGGTTTATAACTTTGTTGTTAGTACGGCCCATTTATTAAACTCCTTTTGGGGTGTGGGGATTTGTCTCATTTTGGTTATTTTTCATCTTACTTTTGTGAATCTTGCTTTTAAGTAGTAGAGTCCAATTATTTATGATTTATGTATATGTATACTGCTAATAAAATGCCAATTATTTACGATTTATGTATATGTTTGCTACTAATAAAATGTTTACGTTATTAAACTAGATCAATTTCTAATTTAAATTTAATTGGTGATAAATGGATTAGGTCATCAATATTTTATATTACTTAATATTTTTTTAATTTTTGATGTGAATTTTTTTATTATTTAATGTGCTCTATCAAGATTATATCTGTTTGAGCATCAATCTCAAAATGTTGAATTATGAGATGATAACTCTTTAATCGACGAGCCTATATTACTAGATCGATGTGGATCATGTTAGATTGTATAGATCGGACTCTAATACTATTTTAAGCTATATAAGTTTTCAACTTAAAATCATTTGGTAAATAGATCAATTCATATATCGTATACTCCATGTGTTTACAAATATATGATGTTTAAGGTTTGTCGCACATATGAAGAAATAATAAATGCACTCCTTTATTATTACTTTTTAGTTTTACCAATAAAATTTCACTATTCATACTTTTATTTTTTATCTATATTTTAGTTTTGAATATAAATTTAGTAATTATATCCTAAAACATCATACATTTCTATAAAAGATAAAAGCTAAAAATATCTTTGATAAAAAAAAGATAAAAGCTAAAATATCTTACATTTGTATAAAGAGGGAATATACTACTTCATGTATCTTCTAACTTTCTACATAGAAACTTTGTTCCTTTTTTTGTTTTGAACAACAGAAACTTTGTTCCTAATATACATATCAACCATGGTTTTGAAAACTGGATCAGATCTTCCGGTAGAACTGGTCCGATCGTGATTCATTGAAGAAGTCGAATCCGATTCGATTTAAAAAATAAACAGTAAAATTGGTAACCAAAGTCAATTTTAAAATTCAATTCTAGAAAATTAACATATAGTTTATTAATCTCATTTCTATTTTAGTAATTATTCTCATTTTTTTTTTTAACACTGGATAATTATGTCATTACAAACTATGAGAAATGTTACAGACGATTCAACAGCCGACATTCTATATCTATCTTATGAGGATACACGCACGCCTGACTGCATCACCTAAGCCGCCCTATCGGATCCACGCTTGACGGTACTCCTTGTGCCATGCTGCAGATCTCTTGTAAGCCTTTCTCTATTAATTCGCATAATTCCGTCTTCTCTGGGATTCGAACCACATACCTACTAGTATAGAAGTATTAATGAACACTTAGTCAAACCACTGAACCAAGGGGGCTTCCACCAAATTACTCTCATTTACTCTAAAAGTTCTCGGTCACACTCTTCGAAATATATGACGTACGTTTATATATGCTTTTTAAAGTAGAAAGTTTCTGTATGTCAAAAGAAAAACAAAATCCGTAGCTCGTCATCTTTTTCATTTCCATTCAAAGTTCATCTTTATTTCTTTCATTTCTTTCGATGCAGTTAGAATATATGCAGCCTTCATTTTATTATACTGTGTCGCTATTAAGTAGATTAGCGTCGCATCAAATACTTGGCAATGAGTCTAACCCAGTGCGAGAATGACAGACACGTCATTTCAGGCACGTGATGTACGTATGACTGTTTCGTTCACTCGAACACAACGGTCCGCAGAGTGTATGGTAGGGAGAATTGATTTCTTGACCCATTAACAGTTCGACACGTAGCGTACGAGCTCTGTCCCTAACCTCAACCTGCAAATGCTTCCCTCATCTTACGTTTTGATTAATAAAGGATGTTTGGTCAGAAAACTATATTGATGTTCAATGTTTACAACTTTTTGGTCAGCTCTCTTCGTGTTACCTCGTATTATTAACTAGGTTAAAGCTTTGTCCGGGATTGCGCTAGGCACTTTACGTGCTAATATGTGAAGTCTACCGCCGAATCAATTATTAAGTATTGTACGGAGATTATTCAAGGACTCATTTAAGGTTTTTTTATACTGGTATATATATTATACACTGTAGCTAAGTACATGGGAAGATTTAAGCAACAAAATAACATGAGAAGCGGTGTTGGTCTGGTGGCTGCCTATTTCGAATCTTTAGAACCGGTTTTAGTTCCCCCAACAATCTACATTTTGGGTTTTGCTTAACTTTAATGAAGAGTAAGTATGGACATTTTTTACAACTCTAATCTAATGGCGGCCAGATTGTTTTCCCTCCAATTTAATCTTTCTCTTTCGTATTTCTTGGCATCTACACTCAAAACTGATATATACCATGAAAACACAATATCTGGAACTCCAATAAATAAATAGGTGAGTTCAATTTTTTTTGAATTTTAAGCTATTATATCAAATTGTTGTGGCTCTCATCCGCCAAGCGCTTATCTTCCGTTGATACGGCTGCCGAGACCGAGTTTTTGATCAATGGGTCAAGTTGCTTTTTCTAAAATTTTGTATTTGAGCATCTCTGAGATATCATTTTACTTCTTTTCTAAAATAAAGTAATTCTTTAATAGAATCAAATTTTACTTTAATTTTATTCTATTTTGTAGTGAAAAATAAAGTAATGAGTAGATAAACTAAATGCATTATTATATTTATAGAATGAAAACGAAAAGGATTGTAATATTTATTATTTCAAACTTCATCTTGTAGTGAGAAATAAAGTGAAATTAGAAATATTTTTATTAATATCGGGTCTTTTCTAATTTTTATGTATACTGCATAGAAGCAAAATGACCGACTGATTTTGCAAACTTTAGCAAAACATACAATGTTATGAAGTTATTTGGAATCATGATAAAAAGCACTAAGGTGGCTTTATTCACTAATAAACATGAAACTTATAACCGTTGAACATTCTTCTAAATCTTTTACTAACCTTTAAAACCGCAATCTCCTACATCTGTAAATATCCGCAACCGCAATCGTAATCACTGTATTGTAATCAGTCAGACCCTTAATATACTTAAAAGAATAATATAAGAATCATTTCATTAATAAACCAGTATAGAGTTTTATATATTTTAATGAAAACCTTAGATATGGTTTTAACCTTGTGGCTTAAGGACAAATAAAAACCTTAGATATGGTTTTAACCTTGTGGCTTAAGGACAAATAAAAACCTTAATCTACTGGTTAGGACTTCATTCCCTAACCCTATATGGATTTTTTGCTAAGTTAAACTCTTTATTTTCTGTTACACACAGTTTATTTATTTGATATGTGATCTCATCAGAAGTCGATTATGAGCATAGTCTAATGAAGTATTTACCTTTATCTCCCACATTTTTCGTAAAAAATACATTTATATAATTCTCAAATTTGTAAAAAAATAAAATTATATAAATTATTACTAAGCTGTCTATATTCCAAAATATAAGGATTGATCCTAATTTCATTATTAAATTAACCAAAATTTAACAAACATTTAAATATATCATTTCCTATACGAACTCGGATATAAGGAAAAATGTTATTCTATGTTTTCCTATCGAAGTTTAATAATAGATTGATAAATTATGAAAATCTAAGATGAGCTATATTTGAATTTGCTTCCAACTAATACAGTACTATTACGTGCAGAATAAATAAAGTTCTTACAATTATAGCTCTACTATCTTCAAATGTCTATGGTCCATGGAGAGTAACTAGGGTTTTAGCCCATCATGGGGTCTAATCTAGTTCCAGTTTGTTAGTCTAAATATACAGAAGAAGTCTGCAAGCATCAGGTACCTACATTATACTATTACATTGTGTTTGAAATATTTAATGGAGCACCTCTATTTTAATAAAAAATCTATATGGACCTACATTTTTTGTTATATTGGTCTGCAAAATAATAAAACTTATAATGGTAGATCCAAGGGACAATCTTCTTTTTTTTTTCTTTTTTTTTTGAGCAAGGACAATCTTCTTATCTTCCCAAAAACGGAGAGAATTGCTACTACCACAAATATATACACATAAATTAACAATGATCGTGTTTTAAATAAATATTAGCTTTCAATTGTCAGAGACTCAGAATAGTATTATTTAACAGTTCGTACGAAACTATACATTCTTCTTTTTTGGTCGAAACTACACATTCTTCTATTTATTTTTCTTAAGTCGTAGTTGATAATGTATCAGAAGTTACTATATATATTGAAATTTCTAACCAAAAGGCTAACATATCTAACCACATGCAGAACATATTTACTTTGCAGCAGCATATATAATTTGTTGATATTTACTAGAAAATTAATTATTGATGATGAGTATTTTATTAGAGATCATTTTCTGTCTCTTACTTATCTACCTAAGTTTTTTTTTGGAAAAGAAAAACTAAGTTATACTTATGAAAGATGAAATATCACATTGCAGTATTCTTTGGTATTTATTCGTTTTAGATGTAAACTAGAGCATCTATCTATATCTTACATATCTAAGGTAACCACCTGGGTACATAAAAGAATGGTGGAGAATAGCGCGTATGTAGACGATAAAGATCTAATTAATGCATACATGATGATAGGGATAAGACATGCATTTCCATTAAGAAGATTAATATAGATAAAATAAATAGATCATTAGCTAGCACAAAAGGACAAGAAGAATTTTGAATCCCTAGTGATGTATCGGTTGAACAAAATAACTAAGGTACCAAGTGAAAATATGAGTCAGCAAGCAAAGTTAAAAAAAAGTTGTGTGAGACATATCCCATGAGTAAATTAACAACCATCATGAATCATGATCATGACTGTAGTATAAGATGCCATGAGAAGAAGTGAGAACAAATTATCAAGATAGCTATGTTAAGTAATCACATGCAGGACCTCTTTTTTCTGAAGTGATAATTTATTTTTGTTAACCTGACAAGAAGCATCCTACGAAAAAGTTGAAAAATCTTAGGATTTGAGAGCTAAACTGTTCATAAGATTTTCTCTTTTGTTTTCCTTTCTCTCGCCAAGATAAATCAGAATAAATGGTGTCCAGTTCTTGTTTCAAGCATATATGAGTCATTGTTATGTGATCATATATATGAGTATATAGAAGCTAATGTTTGTAGGTTGTTCCTTTTTTTTTGAACACCATGTTTGTAGGTTGTTCAAAAAAAAAAGAAGAAGCTAATAATTGTTTATTTTTATATCTATCTCGGATTTACTGTCTTTATGAAAATAGATTAACAAAGCTTTGATAGTAAATACTACTAAAAACTAAATAGTACTATATCATTTTATTTTTTACTGATGATTGTACTATACATCAGATTTTACCAATTTCAATTTTGACACAATTTGTCGGTAAGTGTAGATCTGTTTTATGCATTTAAATGATCGTGAAGTAGTTGTCATACGAAAGAACCTGTCGGCAAGAGAGGCAAATCAAACAAAAAATCTTTACAAGCCTATCATTTTCTTACTTTTATTCACAAACACACAGTATATATACATATAGTGTTCTTTTCATAATCTAAACGTGTCAATACCTGAAAAACGCTAATTTATTTCTCTTTCATTTCAAGAAAAAATATGTAACCAGATCATGAAATACGAATAGATAGGAGTGAGACCTGTGAATATGCTCTATTTAAGGCATCTTTTACAGGTTGTATTTATAATCTTTTTCTTATTTCTCTTTTGAGCATATTGATAAACTAGGGACTAGATCTGATGCAAGAAAGCAATCTATATATATACATATATGGCAGAAATCTATTTATCTTATCTAATGGAGGAGGGTGATAGAGAAAAGTAGGAGTGTTTTGGTTGGACTAGAGAGAGAGATATCTTAACTCTCCTAGGAAAAAGTACTAGGAATCAGTTATTATTTTCTGCAAAAGGACAAAAAAATGTAGAGAAGAAAAGTAAAATAAATAAATAAATAAATAAATATATTCCCTGATGAAGTAAGAATGAAACAATATATATATCTCGAATTCTCGATACGTATTGAAATATAGGCGAAATTATGATATATATTTTCTATTTAAAAAAGGAAAGTTTATGATATAAGTTTGTAAGCTTTTATTTGGCCAAGAATGGCTTAGCAACTGCAAAAATCAAGCACAAAGCTATTCTCATATAACACTCCAACAAAAGAAGAACCTGAACACCGTGGCCCACCAGGCACCACTACCTCAACCTCAACTACCACTACCATCTCCTCCACCACCAGTCACCGCACAAGAGAGGAAACCAATTCGTGCCCTAGATTTAGAATCCTTTCAGTACAAGATCTACACATTTCACTTATAAATATACTTCTACTTATGTGTGTGTGTATCACACTTGTGTAAAGCACCACTTTAGAGGTGAAAAGAATAAACAAACTTTTCTGTTGGGTTTTTGTTTCTTGGTGAGAGAGAAAGAGACAAGAGAGAATTTAAGGATGGGAAGAGGGAAAGTTGAGTTGAAGAGGATAGAGAACAAGATCAACAGGCAAGTTACTTTTGCAAAGAGAAGGAATGGTTTGCTTAAGAAGGCTTATGAGCTTTCTGTGCTTTGTGATGCTGAGATTGCTCTTCTCATTTTCTCTAACCGTGGCAAGCTCTACGAGTTCTGCAGCAGCCCTAGGTATCAAAATCTTTAACCTTTGACTCTCATCTCCCCCAAGATTTCTATATTTACTCCCCTTTTCAAGTTTTTAGGTCTTTGATTCTTTATATCTTTTTTTTGGTAAAAAAAAATCTTGTATCTTTCTTGATTTTGTTATAATTAATAGATTAGGGTTTAACTTATGACTTGTGTGTGTTTAATGAACAAATCTGGCTTCTAGAGTGAGATTAAGTTAACAAAAAGATGATCATATTCTGAGTGTCTAGAGGGTCTATATGATGATTAAAGCTAGAGACTTTAAATAAAAAGTACAGAAGGTTTGTATATAGAAGCTATATAAATTTATAGTGAAAGCTTTTACACATGAGATTGAGCCTTGAAGGGGTTGATCCAAGTTTCCAAAGAGACAAAGGATTAACCTCTGGATATGCACAAAGCTGTAAAGAAACACAAATAATTTGACAACTTCTTTCTGTTAGTATCTATCAAGTACTTATAATCTGTTAAAGTTAAAAGAGACAACTGTGATAATACTCAATTTCATATGTTTCTTTTGAGCATGACAAATATTTTTATCTTTTTTTTTTTTTTTTGGAATAAACACAGCTTTTTTTCTTACAAACCCATCATGAGATTGATATTGATACTGATATTGATATAGATCTTGATGTTATTGGATTTAACATGGAAATTTACAAGGTTTTTGTTTATCTTTCTGAAATATTTCTCAAAATGAAATTTTAAGTTTGATTGCTCAGTAAATGCTATTAATGACAGTAAATTTTAAATATTTAGTGATCATTTGTTTGTATGAATTAGTGGAATGGCCAAGACGGTTGAGAAGTATAGAAAACATAGTTATGCAACAATGGATCCAAATCAATCAGCTAAAGACTTGCAGGTATATCTTCTCTCTCCTTATATGAATTATCTAAAGCCTGACCTGAAACTGTCCTTGATTAATTTTCTCTTAAATGGCAGGAGAAGTACCAAGACTACTTGAATCTCAAATCAAGAGTTGAGATCCTTCAACATTCACAAAGGTACACAGCGTGATTCATATCACATCTTGAAAAGTAAGATGCTTACCCCCAACTACTTAACTCTTCTGGAATTTGCTTCTTTTTAGGCATTTGCTAGGTGAAGAGATAGCCGGGATGGGAGTGGATGAGCTCGAGCAGCTAGAACGTCAAGTAGATGCATCACTAAGGCAAATAAGATCAACAAAGGTATTTATATAATCTCAAGAAATCGACAAGTCTATTTTTGATTATTTGGTCCTTAGAGCATTTAGAACATTACCAAATCTTGGCTTTGTTTTCTCATTGCTAGGCACGGTCAATGCTTGGTCAACTATCTGACCTCAAAACAAAGGTACATAAAGAATGGCACAGTGTTCAATAATCTCACTAGAACATATTCTCATATTCATTACTTTACAGGAGGAAATGTTATTGGAAACCAACAGAGATCTTAAAAGAAAGGTAAAATCCATCAAAAATCTTATAGCGCAAGAAACTAAATTCATTTGAGATCTTTCACAACATTGTTCTCTTCCTCTCTCTATCTATCTCAGTTGGAGGAAAGTGATGCAGCCCTTAATCAATCACTATGGGGAGCTTCTTCTTCTGCAGAACATTCCCAACAACAACAAGGCACGACTTCTTATCATGCAAACCCTCCTAGTCAGGAAGTGGGTTTCTTTAGGCCTTTACAAGGCAACGTAGCATTTCAGATGAGGTATTCATTAGAAATATAGTGAAGACCCAGTGAGACCTATTATCAACAAGGTTTTTACTTGACTTGTGTTTCTTTTTATGGAACAGTCATTACAATCCTGGTGTGACAAATGCAAGCAACACTGCAACAACATCACAGAATGTTGTTAATGGATTCTTCCCTGGATGGATGGTCTGAAGCAATATATGAATAATGCATGTGTTTGTGTTTTATAGATCACATATCATTGCTTGTACCATTTTGAGTTTTTGCAAGAGAACAATAGTTCATGATTACAAATACTGTTATATAATCAAGGGCTGTAATGTCATACTCCACATTATTAATTTTTGCTCCTAAAATATATAAATGTTTTTGAACTTTTAAAAATACAAAATTTTGTAGGAGCATTCTTTTTTATTTTTAAATATCCTAGAATTTAGTCGAATTGTGTCAAAATTTTCTGGATTAGAATATATGTAATTGATCAGTTTACATATATATACCTCAAGAATTGGATTTTGAAACAAGTAGTGCTCTGCATTTGTATCAAGGTTATGATCTGGATTATTAAAACGACTAATTAATTTTATTAAAAATATATGATTATGAGAACAAGTCCTAAAGGGGGTTGTTATTTATTTTCATGGCAAGCACGTTCAAGAAATGGCTCCAACCAAAACCACACAAACAAAACACTATTTAAAACACAACCAAAAACATATAGAACATAGAAGAAAGCCAAAAACATAGAGAAAGAGAGAGATCATCAAAATGGGAAAACCAGCTGGGTATTGGGTGAATAAGATTAGGACATCATTCAAAGGAGGATCATCGTCAAGCAAATCACTAGATGAAGGAAGTGGTTCTGGTTCTAGAAAGAACGGTTCTAAGCATAGTAAGAATCAGAAAACAGAGGAAGGTAATAAGAATGGTGAAGCTGAGAGTGGGAGGAAAGTGATTGTTGTTGTGGACACAACTTCACAGTCAAAAAATGCTCTTCAGTGGGCATTAACACAATGTGTTCAAGATGAAGACAATATCACTCTCCTTCATGTCATAAAAACACCTGTAGGACAAGGTAATACGCATAATTTATATATGTACAGATTGCATGGAACATTTAATTAGAATTTAGAAAGTATCCCATTCCCAGTAGATCTGTCATCAATGAACAACCAAAGCAAGACAAGACATTTTCCCTGGGTTTCTAGGGCAATTGAGCCTCGGATTCTATATTGGGCTTGTCTTCGGCCCAATATTGTCATTTCTGTGTTTAGTTTTGTTTGTTTGGTTTGTCTACTTGATCCTCGGTTTCATACTGATCATAAACTATTGGGGACGATTGGTGCGACTGTAACTGTAAAAATTTTACTATAAAAATTAGTCGTAGAAATTTTGGATTTAGCTGTATCTAATGTGCTGTAGATATTAAATGATAAAAATGGAAAACAACAATATTTTTTTGCTTTAGAAAATAAGGCTCCTATAACCATTTTTTAAAAAAAATTTTGACTTTAGTTTTAAAAACTATTTAAAACATGATTGGTGATTTATATGGTTGTAGATAGAAAATAAAGCTAAAGTCACTAGTTAAAGTCCAATCAATCATCCCTATTATTTTTTGCAAGAGTACTATCATAACTTTTAAAATAAATTATATACCTGGATTTTTGGTAGTGATTACTAAAATAAATATAAAATAAATCAAATTCCATTCATTGTTATAATAATAAAGGTATTTTACTTATTCATATAAAGTGATCAATATATATATATATACAGAATTAAAGATAAAAGAATTTTTTTTATCTTTTTTCAAAACAAAAAATAAATTATTTTTAACCTTGAGTTAGAGCAGTGTTGATTAGTGAACATTTCAGATGTCTCACTGAACCAATCTTTTGTCATAAATTGGTTTTAGTTTTTGTTTGTCTTTTTTGCATGGCTTCAAAATTTGAAGCCATACTCAACTAAGCCCTATACTATTTAGGATTATACTCAACCCATAACTTAAAAATGATAGTGCTGGGCATGTCCGAGTTAGCACACACGATTGATATTGCAGAATCTCTATTTAACTATATGTTTATCATTGAAAACAGGTACAGATGAGACACAAAATGAGAGAAAGTCAAGGGCTCATGAACAAGTTCATCCACTGAAGAACTTTTGTCAACTCAAGAAACCTAATGTAAAGCCATTAATTACAAATCAGAGAAACTGATTCGATTCAAAGCTCCCGTTGACATAATCAGTGCTTTCTTTGTTTATTTTCAGGTGAAGACGGAGATAGTGGTGGTTGAAACAGCGGAAGAGAAAGGGAAGGCGATAGTGGAGGAATCAAAGAAACAAGGAGCTGGAGTTTTGGTTTTAGGGCAGAGAAAAAGAACTTCCAAGTGGCGTGTGATATGGAAGTGGCGTGCGAAGGGAGGAATTGGAGGAGGAGTTGTTGAGTATTGTATTCATAACTCCGAGTGTATGGCTATTGCCGTAAGGAAGAAAAGTAACAATGGAGGTTACTTGATCACCACGAAACGTCACAAAGATTTCTGGCTCTTGGCCTAGTTTTTATTATTATTATTATCAAACATCTTATATCATTTTTTTCACTTTTATCTTTTGTTAATTGAAATGATTTTTATTACATATTTCTGATTGATTTCCATCATGTACGACAAGTAAAGAAAACGAACAAGAGTGTAAAGAATTTATTTTTATTATTTGTTCGTGTGTTGGAATGAAGATTGGCTAATTTTACTCCCTCTATTTAAATTTGTTACATATTTTAAATTTTTCACACATATTAATAAAACACAGAATAAATGCATAGTTTTTGTAATTATCATTTTCTTATAAATCTAAACCAATGAGAATTCAATAAGTACAATTAAGTTTTTTGAAAGTTATAATTAATCATTATTATTTAATAAATAATTGACTTGCCTTGGTACGAGTAATAAAAATTTAGATTTATACTTAACTTGTTAAAAACAAGTACTTATTATTTCTATTATTTACTGAAAAATGAGTTGTTTGCAAGTTAGTTGCCTTAATTTATTGCGAGTACTTATAAGTTAAGTGTGAATACTTGTGAATTACGTGCATGTAATTACGAGTATTTAAAAATTATTTATTAAATAATATTTTACTAAAAATGAAAATAATAACTTATTTTATTTATTCTACTTAGAAATATAAAATAGTTAATATAAACAAAATATTTTGTGCACATTATGAAGGAGAAGAACAAAGCAAAACATAAATCTCTCTAGAGGAAAACAAGTAACCAATAATATCAAGGTGAGTAATTATTATTTTTATATATTTATTACTTGCAAGTTCATCTCTTTTCATTTTAGTAGTCTTAAAAAAAATATGTACTTTGATCCAAAATAATAAATATATATGTACATTAAAACAAAAAAATTACTAAAAATAATCAATACATAAGTAAAACATAAGATAATTTTGAGCAAAAAAAAAAAGTTATGAAAAATAATAATTTAGTTTTAACTTTTAAGATACATAAGCTTATTTATGCAAATAGTTTACTTATTACAACTTATCCCAAATTTTGTTACTATCTGAGCTGCAATATTTATTAATGAACAATCATGAATTCAATAAAACCCTTAACGATCAAGAGTTCATCCTAACCCGTAGCTAGAAAATTCATCCTTTTTGTGTTAACCGAAAACCCCAACTAAAAGCTTGTACCTCAATGAGATAAGCACTAAACCCTCAGTTACTATCATGTCTAGCATTACTATCTTGATTTTTAGTTAGAAATGAGCTTAACTTTGATATTGTATGGCATCACATCAAGAACCCAAAGAATCTAAGCAGAAACTATTTGTCCCTCGAATCATATCAACATGAACCATAGAGCTAAAATTTGGCGTTTGTCCCTAAAGAAAATTACTAGACAGATAAACCATACACAGAACTGCAGCTCGGTAAACCATGTAGGAACGATACTAGCAATCTGATTGTCCATTATATCGAAAACTCACAAAGCTGTGAGGTTCTTTAGCTGTAGAGGTAGACTTCCTAAAAATCGTCGGTTGAAGAGCCGTATGCTTGTGACGCGTCTGTTCTTGTCACAATCCAGTTTTACCCAAGTGCAGTAATCTGAGCTTACCCAATCAATACCGTCTAGACGATGCAAAGACGCCCTCAAGGCTGCCATAGCCAAGTGATCTGGTCCCACATCGTCGAGGCTTGCCTTCACCAACACTAAGCAAATATAGATTCACAAGAATGATCTCTTAATGCTTGAACGTAGAGTCCTAAATAAATCGGAAACAAGCACACCATTAGTCATCCGCATGCATTATCATTTCAGTAATGTCAATGAGAGACAAGTTACAGTATGAACTACATATACAAATTCATATGCCAATCTAGCAGTGCAAGTAAGCATGGGCACAAGGCGGATATTTACTATTTCAGTAATACTTAATATTTGACTTGTTTTTCTTTATTCTACTTAGTATAAAATAGTTAATATAAACAAAATTTTTTGTGCACATTATGAAGGAGAAGAACAAAGAAAAACATAAATCTCTCTAGAGGAAAACAAGTGACGAGTAATATCAAAGTGAGTAATTAATTTTTTTTTTACATATTTATGACTTGCAATTTCATCTCTTTTCATTTTATTAGTCTTAAAAAAATATATGTACTTTGATCCAAAAAATAAATATATATGTACATTAAAACAAAAAAATGCTAAAAATAATTAATACATAAGTAAAACATAAGAAAATTTTGAGCAAAATAAAAATAAAATTATGAACAATAATAATTTTAACTTTTAAGATACATATATTTGATACATAAGCTTATTTATGCAAATGGTTGACTTGTTACAACTTATCCCAAATTTTGTTACTATCTGAGCTGCAATTTTTATTAATAAACAATCATGAATTCAATCTAACCCTTAACAATCAAGAGTTCATCCTAACCCTTAGCGAGCAAATTCATCCTTTTTTTGTTAACCGAAACCCCTAACTAAAATTTTGTGTACCATTCAAGTATAACTTTATCTTATCTAAAATATTTTGAAAAATCATTTATATAATTATGATCAATGATTTTAGTGTTTATAATAAGTCTTGCATATCCATTTGTATTATATGTTTACTAAATTGTATATTAACCTAGAGGTTTTTTAGAATTATTTTATATTTTGCAATTATTTTTATATTTTTTTACAATTGTTTTTATTCTTTAAAATTATTCTGTCAATAACTGTTTTCATATTTTAACAATAGTTCTTATTTATTTTGTAGAATTCTAATTTTGTTAGAGATATTTTAATGATCAAGAAAATAAGAATGTTTGTTGATTTATTTTCAAGAGAAGTTAAGGAATTTAGAATTATTTTTCTGATATATGTTAATTTAATGTAATGAATAGCTGGACATCAAATATCCATCGCATTCAGTTTATCTCTACCCGTTTAAATTATGTTTATTTTATGGAAATCAAAATATATTATAAGATCTTCAAATTCCAAAATAAAAGTTATACATGTGTATGTTATATTAATATATAACTAAATACATAAAATTATCATGAAATTGGTTAGTTTGAGTATTTGAGTGGAAACCACTAAATATCTTAGTGTTCTGAGTTTTTTTTTATTATTTCAAATATTTATTTTTTACTATTTTAGATACTTTCAGATATTTTAGACAGTTCCAAGTTTTTTTGATTATTTTAGATATTTTGAATATTATACATTAAATTAATTATTATATTTAAATATATAACTATTATTCAAAAAACTCTAGGTACAGAAAAAGAGAGACGAACTCTAGAATTTCTTTTCTTTTCATCAACATGATTGTACACCATCTGATTTTTGTGCACCATCTAATTTTTGTGTAACGAAAAAGTCTAAGTAACTGAAATATCAAAATAAATGAAGTATTGCATTTTGGAAGAAGTGGGACACATGTCGCGAGCACAAAATTTGACTTAATGACATATCAGGTGACATGGACTTTATAACGTAGCGCTGATGTGGATGGACTTAGATAGAGTGAAACACTCTTTTATACTATTATAATATATATATATATATATATATATTGAAAATGTTAAAAATGTATCTTTTTAAAATTAAGATTTTTGTAAAAAACATGTAACATTATGAAACAGTGGGAGTATTAAGTAAAAATGTGCTCGCAAACTTTGGAAAATATTAGCACTTTCTCAAAATTTTGTTTTAAATGTTTGATTTCAATATACTTTTTCTTTAGATATTTTGATGCATCGCCATATCGGTGATAACACTTTTTGTCTAACGATTTATAACAGATAATTATTTACATTATATTTACATTATTACTTCGAGTACGGCATTGATGGTCAATAGTTAAACTTATTTTTTATGACAAAACTTCTTAGCTATATTTTAGAATATGGATCGACAAGGTAAAAAGAAAATAATTGAGGGTCCATACTTTATTGAACCATGAGTTATGTAAATAGAAAGACAAAAAAGATGTTAGTCTTGGAATAATGGCTTCATGGTACCACTTGTTGAAGAGATTAGCAAGGAGAAAAGATCATACTTTTTTCTTTAACATTTAGATTTAAAGTTTTCTTTTAAAATAAAAATATGCTATTACACAAAGAACAATACCTTGGTTTCTGGTCAACAAAGACTTTTAACAAAATATAGTAAAAATTTTAAAAGGTTAAGTGTAAATAACCATCAAATATTTTTTTTATCTGTAAACGCACGAGGGATGTAGAATACGTCGGCACTCAAAATGCCGTAAACAAAGTAAACATCTTGGTTTCTTATATATCTCTGGTTTGATTGATCGCTCATCTTATTGGAGCTAGCAAAAAAAGTCATTATCAGCTTTTATATGCCGTTCGTATTTTAACATATTATCGATGGATCGATGTTGGTGATAAACAGGGAGCAAAATTGATAAACTTCATTATTACATAACGATCATAGGGTCATATGACATATCATATGCACCATATCCATTATTGTCATTATTCTTATTATTTCATCACATACTAGAGATCAGAAGTATTAATCCCACACTTATCATCATTCATTTCTTACGCAGGTTCCTGAAATACCCTTTCGGGTCGCTCTCAAAAACTTCCCTGAAAATGCGACCATCCTTACCAGGAGCCTTCATTGTCTTCATGTCCGGTCCTGATCCCATCCCGGAGAACAAGCCCGCAATGGCTCCGACGACACCTATGACCGCCATGGCGATTTCAAAGGATGAAGTATCTCTTTTCTCTTTGTCGCTCATTTTGATTCTTTGATACAGTTTCAAGATTTACTTTTATCTTTGGAAAAGAAGTGATGCATGTGATTTATAGTTGTTGATTCAATGTCAAATGATTTATTAGATGAGGTTAAGTCTCATTTCAATTTACTAGATGAAATTAAATCTCATTTCAATTTACTAGGAAGACGTTTTAACTACGAGTTTGTACTTAATGGTACCGTTAGGACCTTGAGTCGACTTAGAGCATCTTTAACCCTTGTTGCTTAGAGAGTTGCTTACGGGAAGAGAGGTGCTTATTTTGAAGAGAGAGAGTGTGAAAATTGCTTAATTAAGCAATTTTCACACTCTCTCTCTTCAAAATAAGCACCCCTCTCCCCCTAAGCAACTCTTTAAGCAACATGGGTTAAAGGTGCTCTAAGTTTCCCTAGGGAAGAGTATGAGATTTTTTTTTTTTTGGTCAAAGATGAGTCTATAATGCTTTTTAAAATAAATGAATCGAACCACATAAATTCAATTTTGTTTAGCATTGGAACAAGCTTATACATATCGGATCTAAGCTTATTTTATCTCCAAAGTTTATGAATATATTTGCATGTGATGACAATAAAAAGACAAAATAAGGGAATATTTCTTTTTGATTTGTTTCATGTGACGTGACGTGATGGGAGAGAGGGGACCTCTAAGCGATTTGAAGAATCTACCGAGATTTCATGAATGGGACCTGAAATAGTAGTTTTGTCCATGGGAGTATAATACCTGTTTATGTTTGAGATTGTTCCATAAATACATAAATAGATGTAGATAAATTTAGATAATGGACGATCCTAAATCATTGACATAGATATTTATGATGTATTATCACTGGCACACCATGTAAATGAATAATTTTGATCATTTGTCTCTTTCGGTTTCTTACTCAATACTCATATTAGTTGGAATCGTTCTTTATCTGGTTTGCCTTTGGGTTGGTGTGTTTGTTGTCTGTCACAGTTTTGTAGAGCCCTACTCAGATTTTGTGTCGCTTTTGGTATTTGTTGGCACCTATGACATTATTTCAGAGGACAATTATCTTATCTTGCCGTCCAAAAATAGATGAAAATGACCGTGAAGGCAAATAACATTTTCACAACAAATAAATCGATTTTCATGGGTCCAAGTGTTTTTCAATTTTGTTTCTTCGTAAACCCATTGGAAAAAAAAAAAATTAAAAGTTATGGATAGAAGGAAGGACACATGGCAAATGTCATGGTCAAAGGTCTGGCACACCAATCAACGAGGATCATGAACCATTTTCCTTTCTGACTTTTGGCCCCAAAAAAAATAGAGACAATTGGTGTAATGTACCTAACGAAGATCCAAACTGGTCGAATATCCATGGATGTGGATAATCCAAAAAGGAGTAACCTTTTGACACTGTGTGGACGAAAATGCCCTCTTACTTTATCAAAAACATGTAACTCTAGATTTAGCGGATACACGTTATGTTAACTGAACACTAAGAGATATTTATCAATTTTAACATGATATAAAAATTGTTAGCAAATTGACAAAATTTTAACATGCTACAAATTTTGTTATCGGGTTACGTCTATTTATTAATGTGTTAAATAAATCGCTAACAAACAGGTTAGCATGTTAACGATACTATTATCATAAAAATATATATATTAACCGCTAATCAATTATCTTCAAATAGCCGTAATCCTATTTGTAACAGGTAACACTCTATGTATCGCTTACAAATTCATTAAAATACAATAATAACGGGTAAATAATGAAATAACTGCTAACTTACATATTATTCAAATAAAAGAATGTATATTTCAAGATTTGAAATTCGAAATAATAGAATTAATGTGAGATAATAACATTAGCAATATGGGTGTCAAAAGAATCAGAGTAAAAAATAGAGATTTATGATGGAAAAATGAAAGCATAAATATGTCATGTGTGAGAGATAAAGGGATTAGAAGATAGGGAAGAGAAGAGAGAGAGAATGAGATAGGGTATAATGGTCAGACAAAATAGTTTTTATTTTGGAAGGTTAGATGGCAAATATGAGGTGTATTTAGGGACAATCCCACCAATTTCTGAAAAAAATATTATGCCAACTTGTTTTGCTAATTATGAGCAGTAACCCAATGAAAAAAATTCTATGGCCACCTGAAAAAGATGTTTCAACAGAGCACAGTCAAAAAGGAAATCTTATGGAAAGTGACTGTAATCCAATTTTATATACAATCCACCAATGTAAAAAATACACAAGAATATACTTTAAAAAGCCCTTGTGAACATCTAAACTTTCATGTCCCTAAAAGCTTCCCCTTCTTACAATGTACCACCACTACTAGTGTCATTTACCGACAAAGAGTAACACTTCCTTCAAGAAGTTCTTTAAGATCTTATCAACCCGAAATTGACGAAAGATCTAGACTTGAAAACCCCAAAGAGAAACCCCGTTTGAGATTCTTGAGAACTCGGTTTCACCTCTGTGTTTCCTCCTTTCACTTGAAGTATCTTCTGACCAATCACTTGTCTGATTGAATCTATGGTCTTAGCATCAACCTCATAACCAGAAGCATCCCTCACGTAGAATGTGTTGAAAGCTTTGCCTCCTTTTGTTTTCACTTCAGCTCTTGTTACCGTAAGACTGTTCTCACGGAATATCCGTGTCACGTCTGATAACAATCCCACTCTATCTGAAGTGCATAGCTCAAGCTTCAAACCCTACCAACATATAAACAAAAGTTAAGCCACAACACACAAACATTCAACAAGTAGAGCTCACAACAATGTTTTTTTACCTCTGAGACTCTTCTCTGAATAGCTGCTTTAAGACACTTGATCACTCTCTGTCTTTCTGCCTCAGACTTCACAGGAGATCCATCTGTATGTCTTATATAGTACTCCTGATAAGCTTCAGGGCCTTCAGCATCAATGCTAGCATGTGAAACAACATACTTCATATCCGTCAAAGTAAAGACAGTATCAAAGAGAAGCTTTGGTCTATCTTTACATTTGATCATCACAATTGAGTAATCCAAATCATGCAAGTTGGAAACATCCACATCTGGGACTACTCTCCCAATCTTATCCTCATCATCAACATTATTCTCCCATTCATCATAATCTCTATCCGCAAACATCAACTGATGAAGCCTACGATCCGCGTTGAGAGAAGAAGAAACCGTTGTTTTGGGTTCACGAGATCTCCTGCTCCTGCTTCCACCTGTGAGCACATAACCAAGAAGCTTCCTGATCTTGGACAACCTCTCTGGATCAGTGACCGCAGAGGAGGTCACCTCGTCTGTTACTTGCAAAACCGCAGCTGCTTTTGCTCTATGCGTCCAGATCTCAGCGTTGGCCACATTGCATTGAAGGTCGGTTAGGACAGCGCAGAGTTCAGACAACAAACCGGGTCTATCGGTTCCGGTTAGCTCAATGACAGTGAAGTCGACAGATTGTTTAACCCCAATGGTTGATCTCGGACTGAAGCAAGAAGACTCTTCAGGGCCAAGAGACTGCAAACAGTCACAGTTTTATTATAATCACAGACATTAAAACCTAACGGTAACATAAACAAGAGGTTGGTTTATAAACTTACTTTACGGATATAGTCAAGAACTATTTCATCAGTGACTTTGTTCCCATCTTGGTTAGTGACGTTGAAGACATCCATGAACCAGCCACCATCAGAGGAGATGTAAGCTTTCTTGATTGTGAGGTTAAGATCAGTCAAGACTTGAACTACCTCCAGAAGAATCCCATGTTTATTAGCACTATCCACCTAACAAAAAAATCAAAAATGTTTTTTTTTTTTGCTTTTCAACAAAACAAAACCTAATAATAATGTGAAAAATGAAGTCTCAGAATGGTTTTGTACCTTAATGACAGTGACGTTGTTGTAGACATCGTTATCAATCACAACCCTAAAACGATAATAATAATCAAATTAAAAAACAAAGTCCAAAAAATTGAAGAAAAAGAAAAAGATTAAAGTTAAAGGGGCAATTTACTTTGGAGGATTAACTCTTCTGAGAAACCTTGCAATCTCATCATCTCTATGACATGAATAGCTCAAGCAATTGTCTGAAAAAACAGATACAAAACAAAACCCAATTAAACCAAAACAGAGACTAAACCCACCAAAACAGAGACTAAACCCTAGAACACAAATTACAAACGAACCCATGATGAAAAGACTCAAAATTTAACAAACCCATAATAAAAGACTCAAAATTGAACAAACCCATAATCAAAAGACTCGAAATTGAACAATTAATCATCAACGAAGAACAGAGAGAGAGGAATAACGAACCCATTGTGATTGATATCTCTCTGGAAGAGGAAGACTTTTGGAACTGGAATTGCCAGGGGAGAGAAGAAGAATCACGAGAAAGTTTGTTAAATTTATATTCAAATACGAAGAAAGAAAGAGATAATTAAATAATTAAATATAAATAATAAAAATCTAAAAGGGGGAAAAGGGAGTGGAGATCCAATTACTTCACACTATGCTCTGTCTCTGACACAAAGATTCAGCCGACACGATTCTCCTCTAAAACCTGCACAGATGAAACACTCTTTTTTGTTTTGTTGCTGTTAAATTGTGATTGTGATGAGGATGAGTGTGTCTACTCATATATACACTTGGCGCACGTTAGTAGCCGCCCTTGGCTGTCAAGATAATATTAGGACAGTTTAACCGGCCGGTTAGGTAGATCCTACTTGATTGGGTAATAAATCACAGACAATTCTTTTGGGAGTTTTCGATTCAGAAACAAATCGATGAAGTTTTGACTAATTACATTCTAATTTTGGAAGATTAGTTACGGTTTGAAGGAGAAAAAAGCTAATTATTTTGGTGACATATGTATAACAGTAGAAAATAGACCAAATGATATTGAAAATGAAATAGAAAGCCTTTTAGAAAAAAGTATATATATACTCCTTCGCTTCCTAATAATATGATGTTTTAAGTATTTCACACACTCACACTGTTTAAGAAATAATAAATAGACTTTCTTTCTAAACATTTGTGTTTAGTGTGTGATTTGTTAGTAGTGGATGATTTGTTAGTAGTGGAGTAATTAAGAGTAAATAAAATAGAATAAATTATTTCTACAAAAAAATGTATTTAAAAATGTATGTTTTAGATTTTTAATATTTTTTATCAATTAATAATGAAAAACTGTAAATTTCAAAAATATTAACTGCATTTTTTGAAATCTTATTGGTTTAATGCTATGAGAAATATAAAATTACAAAAATATGCATTAATAACTATTTTTTTTTATAATAAATGTGAAAAACTTAAAATATGTATTATTTTGAAACAAATAAAATAATTAAAAATAATAAAATTTCCACCTCAACAAGTTGCGCTACTAATATCATTCAGTCAAAGCCTTAATGTTTTGCTTACTTCTACAATGATATTGAAATATATTTTTTTCTTAGTTATTTAATGGTTGTTGTATTAAATCACTTTGCCAAAAATTAAAAAAAAAAATAGGTATGGAAATTAAATGTTACCAACTACGAAGAAAATTGTCATTACCAAAACTACATTCAAGATGTTAGTATTAATACAAATTGATTAAGTTAATTTTAAAATAAAATGCATTAATGATATTATTACACAAAATCTATCTTTGTAAAACAAAAAAAAACAAAAATAATTATATTTTCAGGAATAGAGGGAGTATTAGAATTTAGTGTCATCCCAAAACGATAGCAAAGTACCTGAGAAACAAACTAGTTGAGTTATGGCTTCTAATCTCATAAATCAAATAATCAACCTTACGGTTAAAAGATCAAAAATAAAAGAATATGAAAATACATTTGAAGAAAATACTAGACACCCAAATATATTTAGGAAATAATAATCGTGAACTTGTACTACCATAAAAATATACGAAGTTAATAACTTCTTTTAGTTTTAGAAGTAAATTTGATATTTGGCCGAATTTGTCAATGTGTTCGTTCATACACTCCAAAGATATTGGATTTTGGGATTGAGTGGAATCCAACCATAGCGGCAAACAAAGAACATGAACACTAATGCAGTTAACAAGGACCATAATCTAAGGGAATATGTTTCACATGTTACACTAAATATCCCATTAAATTTGGTGATATTATGAAGTCTTTAATATTTGAAGCATCGTGATTCTCTTAAATTTGTGAACAACACATTACGTGATTTTAGTCATCAATTAATTTATAAACTCGATACAAAACAGTAAGATACTTATAGAATACCAGAGGTCATTAAGTTCAACCGGAAAAAAACATGATCATTGTGTCAGAGATCTCCAGTTTGAATGACCATTTTGAAAAACTAATATTACATGATGTGGTTTTGGATCTGGAAGTATTAGGATTTCGGCCCGAATCTCCTCATAATTCAAAAAAAAGGAGGAAAACATGCTGTTTAGAATGTCAAATGTTTTAGTAGAAGATAAATGCGTAGAAGGAGGGACCATGCCGGCCGCATGTTACTACGATCTCCATAGCTCATTCTCTTCTTTCTTCAATTCTACCCTTTTATGCATAATAAATACATAACTTCTAAAGTACTCTTCTTAGCTCTCTATTTAAAAATAAACAATAGCACAACTCTTGTAAAAACAGAAACAAAAAAAAAACAAGTCTGAAAGAGTGTTTCTTACAAACATAAAAATAGCTTGTTACTTATTATACTTTTGACACATACGATTAGTGATTTTTGAGCTACATATCTGTTTTGTGGTATCGTATGGTATTTTTCTAAGCTTAATATCATTGGTTTAACTGGTTAAATATACCGAATTTTACTAAATAAGACATATAAACCTTGGTTCAAGCTTATTAATTAATGTGACACTGGATAAAAGTCTAAGCCGATTTAGACTAATAAAAAGTCTTAAGTCAAAAAGAGTAGTCATATATTTTCTTATAAATTTTGTCATTGGTGTTGTATGACTCCTCAGAAATTAACTTATTTTTTGTTTTGTTTTCTTTTATTTTAAATGATCAGAATTTTTTTTTAACATTAACGTTTGTTTTATATCAACATTGTTGATAACTTGATATATTTCCAAAACGAATCACACATATGGAGAGCAGAGTCGGTCCTAGATTATATAAGACCAGAAGCAAAAAAATAGAAAAAAAAAGAATTGAACCAAAAGAGCTTTGAACTCAGGTTACACATAGCAAGTTTATTTTTTTTTTCAAACTAGACCACTAGATTAAGTAACTATTTTGTTAATATGTGGCTAGATTCTCTAAATAAAAATATTGGTTGGAAGCAGCTGCTTCTACCACTTGGCCTAAGGGTCGGCCTTGATGGAGAGTTACACTTTGTACTTATTTTTACTTTCAAAACTTAAATTTGTATAAATATACGAATTGGCTTGGTACTAAGTTGTGGTCTGGTCATTAGTGGTTAGAAACTCCTGCATTGAGTAAGATCTAAATCGTTATGTTTCTTTAGCTTAATAAATGGCAAATGTTGTGAATATATCATACTCTAAGAACTGCAATTGAATGATTAAACAGCAAGTAAGTCAGTACTTACTACCAAGTTTATGTATCAATTTATTCTCACAAAATAAAAATAAAATACTTTACTGCCTCAAATTTATTTATATGTTTAGGGTTCCAAATATACACCTGTAACCGGTAAAGACCAACACATTTCAGTTATATCAAAATTGAAGTAACTGTGTATGGCTTATTTTTTCAAATATATTCGAATTAAAATTTTTACTTGAATGATAAACCAGTGACTGTAAAAGTTTATTTTATATTCTCACATGAATATCTTGTATTTGTTTAGACGTTAGGGTTCCAAACCAAGTGCCGATGAGATGCATATGAGAACCCGAAGTTACCAAAGAAATCTATTCTTCAGTTTCTGGAGGCAATATCACTTCTTTTGCCTCAGCTGCTTTCTCTCCAACGTATATAGCCGTTTTTTTGCTCATATCAGTCGCCAACACTTTGGCTTCACCAGCTTTTTCGACGATGAAATCTTTAACTTCACCTGTTTTTTCAACTACGAAATCTTTGGCTTTCTCTGTAATTGAAATAGCTTCCTCCTCCATCACATTGGCTTTTTCCGCCACAAAATCTGAAGCCATGTGAGCATTTTCAGTCACAATGTCCATGGCTTCACCAGCTTTCTCAAGAAAGTAGTCTTTTGCTCTCTGTATGTGATCTAAAACCTCTTGTCCTTCATGTGCAGTCAACTGTCCAACTTCGCTTCCTTTCTCCTTCACATACTCGGAAGCTTTCTCTCTTTCATTTGTGAATGTGTGTGACACAGTTTTACAAAAATTATGTCAATGAACAAAATGGTTATAAATACTATATACATAACAAAATTGACAATGCTGGAAATTAAAAGGGAATTTCTAGTGTATATACTAATATTTTTAACAAACTGATTAGATGTATATAAGACATCTTTTTGATTAAATTTATTGAGAAAATACCATGTGTTGTAATTCATAAATTTCATCAGGATGGATATAAAGGACTAGATTCTTGAATATTAATTTTTAACAAAATTTGTTGATTTCTAAATAACGAACACAAAATTGATTTAATTTTGTGATAGAAGAGTTAAGTGATGTGAAATCATGCCATGGGGTCATAATGTGTTCTGCTTCTCTGTTTTCATTCTAGCTAGAGATTAGTTACTCAATATTTTTTACCTATGTCGATCTCAGACATGTCTAAAACATATATATAGACTTACGAGGCATCATCGAGCCATTTTGGATCTAGCTTTGAGTTGCCATCTTCACCTTTCACGGCGGCCATGACCCATGACTTCTTGCACTGAGATGCAATGACCACGTTCTTCCAGCCAACTCTCATATCTAAACGGCCAACACTGCTTCTCCTGCTGATCGAGAAAGTAGAACCCAGTCCACTAAGCACAGATCCGAAAGTCAACGTTGCCATGAGGTCACCTCTTGCCTTTTTCTCTTAAGATGTGAGAAAACGAATAATGAAAAGTGAGGATTTTAGATTAGTAGAGGGACAGAGTGAGAATCTTTATAAAGAACCTCTGGCGTGGAATAGTTTCTAACCAGTTAGAATGTAATGACATCCAATTAGTTTCGTTCTTGGTTTGCCAAGTGTAATCAGATACGCCGGAGAAGTTAGCAAACATAAACAGACTATGACATGTTGCATGAATAAACAGTATATCTAAGACTCACCCGTTCAATATATACTTGGGATAAAGCATATGGTGTTTAGAAAGGTCGAATGTTTAGGATAGAGAGGAGAAATACATGTCACGCTGGTCGCATGTTCCTCATATATATCTTATCTTCCTCGAATATATGATTTAAAAAACATATTGCAAAGTAACAAAAGAAAAGAGGAATTAGAAAATAGAGAATGTTGGTTAGAAATTAGAATTGGTTATACGTATGTGTGTGTGGTAGAAGGGGGACATAAGTGCGTACATGCCGGTCGCATGTTTATGTATGGTTAGACAATCTTTAAATGGACTATATATATATGTAGACAAAATCTAAACGTAGAGAGATTGTATAATTTTCTTTTAAGTTATTGGGTAATTTTGTAATGTTGGTTTGGATTTGCTAAAGTTATAAACAACCTTCACTTATATAGTGACTGATAATGTTATTCACCACAAACTAGATATGTAGTATTTGACTTAACATGTGTAACATGACCTAACACTTTATATGACATCAAACTCAAAGATAGATAAGTGGGACATAAAGTGAAGAGCGACATAAGCAGAAGCAGAGGAAAACGGAAAATTATACCAGTGGTAAGGAAGAAATTTAGGACAAGAACGTTAAATGGTCAGTTTTTTTGGCCAATGTTAACTAGTCAGTTGTGAGTTCAAATTTTACCAAGAACTATAAGATGTCATTTGATTGTCCACCCGAAATAAAACCCATGTCTTACGTCTCAATTAAAAAACTAAGGGTTAGGTTTAGGCCAGGCATTCGGATATTCGGTTTGATTTCGGGTATGAACCATTCGGTTGCGGATATATCGGATAAACTATTTCTATACTTAATAGATACTTATGAGATTTTGGTTCGGTTTTAGTTCGATTAATTTAAATGGTTGAGCATTTACACGCTTACATATATGTCAACCCAACAAGAGTTCGAGTCGATAAAGTGTTAATTTTATAAATATTTATTATATTTTAATATAGAAATATTATATATATATATATATATAAAATAAGAGAGTAGATAAATGATAACAATCCGGTTCTACTTATGTTCTCATTCTTCATGTATAACCTGAGTTTAAGTGGGTTCGATATTATTATACCTTATATTAAAAAAATTAAATTTATTTTTTAGAATATTTGGATACCCGTTTGGTTCTTGATTCGGTTCCGGTTTGGCTTTGCAGATATAGAAATACATGAACCATTTGGATTTTTGAGGATTTCTGGTTTAGGTTTTGGAAACTTAGGTTTGGTTTTTGGGTTTTGTTTTTTTTCTTTGCCCAGGGCTAGTTGGGCTATTCATCTGTTTTAATCCATGTATATTATTTGGACCTTACCAATTCGAAACCAAAGGCGCAGCAGAGACACGATGGTGGCACTTTTGGACCAAACATAAATAAATGGGCCTGAAAGGCCCAACATATCTTATAACCCAATAGAGTCGGACGCTATAAATAGAAGCAAAAGGCGAGAGGCGATTCACCGGCGGAGGAGGAGATACGATGGCGTTGGAGCATTCGTCGCGGAAGGAAATGAAAATTAGTAATGCTTAACACGGTTTTCTTTTCCCTTTAGGTGAGGGAAACAATCAGATCGCGCAATGCTCAAAACGCCTTTTACACAGAGGCAAGAGTTATGCTATCGAAATTAGGCCTTGAGGAATACGAGAAAAACTTCAAGATGGGACATCTCACTGATTAGACCTTGCCACTGCTCACTGATAGGTTATACCATACATCTCCCCTTCAAGCTTGAGTTTATCATGTAGCAACTTTGAACTTATCCCCTTATTAGAGATATGTTGGACCGGAAGATGTGTATATTACGGACCAAGATTGTGAAATCCATGAAACCCATGAAGACTCTCAAGACTAAAAGGAAAGACTTGAAGAGCAAGTTAATCTCAAGATATTCTTAGCATATTTACATTAAATGTTTAAGAAAGTTAGCATTACTTGGTGTTAACATTATGTTAATGTTACCACTATATATATGCATATTGTATTCTCATATCAAACACAACAGAATAATATATTTATTCTATTATACTTTACACCCCTTTTCTGAATCCAGTGACCTAAAAGAAGTGAACATTCCATCAGGGGCAAGGCTTCTAATACTTGATCATATCAATAGGTTTGGTTTACAAGCTTCTCTACTCTTCACACATGGATCAAATATATAGGAATTGGATCCAACCTGTTGGAAATATTTTTTAGACATTATGAATAGTGTATTCATATGTCAAAAATGAGTTTTATTTGAATGAGAAATGAATGTCTAATATGTGTGATTTGAGAAACTTTTATAAAGTAACAAAAATACATATAAGATATTTGGATTTGAGTTTTGATTTTGTTAGTTGGACTTTATGTTCATTAACGTAATATTATAAACCAAATATATGTTGATCTTTTATATTGATAAAATATAAAAAAAAAGAATACCATTTTAAAATTTATTATATAGTTTGATTTGGTCAAATAAATAATAATTTTACTATTTAATTTCTTGGTCAAAATGTGGAATAAAATCACATATTAATTGATAAGAATTAAAAGGCTCCATTAGTGCACATTGGAAGTTTTTCTTTTGTTGGAAAATGAAACATGTGCTTTTCATTATTTTCTATAAAAAGACTTGTAAGCATTAGAGAAAACACACACACAACAATGAAAGAAAAATTCACATTCTCTCATATGAATATTATAGAGTTTATTTTCTTTTTGAGTCTGAGAGTACATCACAAAACTAGATTCGTTAGGCTTCTAATAGAGTGACGCACATCAGAAGATTTGTGCAGTTGTATCTTGGGAATCTGAGTGCTATTAAACTGTCGCACTACGGGGCGTTTAAAGATTTAAGGAAAAAGATTAACTATATCGACTATGCAATTCCTCATTATTTGTTTGTTTCGGTATTGTTATTTTGATTTATGTTCTTATTTTTACTAATATCAGTTGTCCCCATTGTAGTAAAATAAGTTTCTTACACTCTACGGGGCGTTTAAAGATTTAGGAGTGTAATAATAACATGATATATATATTTTCCCCTCTATCCTAGACGTTTGACCTTTTAAACATCATATGCTTTGCCAAACATAGCATATAAGTTATATAAATCAAATGGTATGAATCGAGAATAAAAAACAGACAGAAAAAAAGAAACGAGAAATTGAACAATGGTGGCACTTTTGGACTCAACACCAATAAATGGGCCTAGAAGGCCCAGAAAAACTCAACCCAATAGTCAGAAACTATAAATAGAACCAAAAGACGAGGCGATTCAGCCAAAGGAGGAGATACGATGGAAGTAAGTCCGACTCAATACAAGGTGATCGAAGCCGTCTTGATGACCACACTCGGCGGTGTCGTCGGAGCTGTTTTCGGCGGTCTATTAGGAAGGGTCACCTCCCCACGAAACCTAGCCGTCTCACTGAGCCGAATTCAGGTTTTGTTCATTCTTCATAAACCCTAAAACCCCTTTTCCAAGCAACGTCATAAACTAATCAAAAGATTTTGCATTGAATCAGCATGCTCGTGTCTGTGCTCGGGAATGTTCAGCATTTGGCGCTGCACAGTTGGGTATTTATTCCATAGTGAGTGGAATCAGAGGCAAAGATGATCTTACGTCTAAGTAAAGTTCCAAACTCTTACTTTTGATCTTGTTTATGTTTCCTTGTCTTAGTATAGACTAGAGATTCTCTATTGTTAATGTTTTTTTATTCAAGATGTTTTCTATGGAACGACGAAACATGTTTTATGTTCATAACTTTGCGCGCAGTGTGGTCTCAGCATCAGGTTCTGGGGCGGTATTATCATTTATGAAACAAGGTTTGAAAGGACAACCTTCCAACGCACTCTCCCACGCTGCTATATTTGCTGTTATTTCAGGAACAGCGTATAAGGTGATTAATTGATTGATTGTTCATGAATCAATACAAAGATTATATATTCTTCTTATGACTTAACACCGTTTTTTTCCCTTTTAAGGTGAGGGAAACAAATAGATCGCGCAATGCTCAAACCGCCTTTTACACAGAGTCAAGAGCTATGCTATCGAAGTTAGGCCTTGAGGAATACGAGAAGAACTTCAAGAAGGCACATCTCACTGATCCCACCTTGCCATTGCTTACCGATAGGTTATACCCATACACACATCTCCTTCAAACTTGAGTTTATTATGTAATATGTAACTAATAAACTAATCCCCTTTCTGATGAATTCTGAATCCAGTGATTTAGAAGAAGTGGACATTCCACTAGGGCCAAGGCTTCTGATACTAGATCATATCAAGAGGTTTTGTTTACAAGCTTCTCTACTCTTCTTACATGGTATCAAATATGTGAACTGTATCCAACCATGGTCTGTTGTTTTGAGTGCAGGTATAATAGGATGGTAAACCGCAAGTGAGGAGTGCAGTAATTTGATCACCCAACCCTTTTTATCTACATGGTGATGTGATCTAGAATCCTGGAGGGTAGTTCTGAGACCTAATATTGCTAGTTTATATATTATAACCTTTAGACTTTATTCAAAGCCAAGAACATAACATAACATAAAAACATAACCTTTAGACTTTATTCAAAGCCAGATCTACAAGAACAAGATAGATGATAAAGAGAGAGTTTAGGGTTTTCTTACCCTCACTAGTGGCTTGATCTTTTATGTTTTTAATGAATTTTTATATTTTTGTATTTTATTTATTAATAGAATAATTTAATTTAAATATTTTTTTGGTTTTTTATTTTAGTTTTGGAATTTTATATTAAGAACATACCCAACCCTATACAAACACATTCATAACGACCTTTTTTTGTAACACACATTCGTAACGACCTAAAAACATAAACAAAGGCTATTAATTACTCCATATATTCTAATTTATATATTTTTATTTTTAATTTATTTGTAGAATTTTTCTATCCATTCTCCACTAATTTTTTAGTTACATTATCAAACTATTTGAAACTTTAAGTATCAAATTTAGAGTTTAAAAATGTTTAATTCCATTATCAATTGGTTATTTTCCAAAATCTTAGATATGTAAAAAGTATATGGTAGTTTCAATTAAAGTTTGACGGATTTTAGATTAAAAACAAAACGAACGGACCGAATTATATATATTTATAGATATACAATATTTGGAACCGAACTCGAAATCCACACAAAACCTAACCCAAAATCTTATCGAAAACCTATAAGTATTTAGATGGATCCAAATATTTAAGACCCGAAACAATCTACAAGAAAATAAGAACTAAGATGAACCCTAACCGAACATCCATGCCTATCTGCATCCATGAGGATATAATAGAGATTTAGCTTGAAAATAGAATCTAAAAAATAAATTAACTTGATAGACAAGTAAATCTATGACTTACCATGCCGGATTTGGTATAATATTTAAAACAATGAAAACAGAAGCAAAGGCAAAAAAGAAAAAAAATGGCGATCATAGGAGGAGAGGCGAGGCGAGAAGCTGTCATCGATACCATCACTCGTACCGCAATTGGGGGTGTTATCGGCGGTGTGGTAGGAACTTTCATCATTACCCCACACGCGCGGCGTTACCCTGGACCCCTACTGATGCAGCGCATCTTACGTCTTCTATACGTTTACTAATTATTACCGGTTTTAGATTATTCATTAAGTCAGGTTTTGGTTTTCTTTACTTCTAGATAATTATGCATTATTTCCCTTTTAAATTAAGTTGATGATATCCTTTTCCTATTAGGGTTTGTCTAAAGGAGACCAATATATTTGTTTCGGCTCCGAAGATACAAATCTAGACTTTGATAATTAATAATAGAGCTTTTGCTTATTCCTTGTGAGATTCGATTAAATTCATCTATCAAGAAGTTGGTCTCAAAGAAGCTATCGCAAGAAACTCTTTGATCGATCCAAGAACAAGTCTCTAGAACCCTAAAGTTCTTTGATCGACCGTTCAACATTTTGTACGCTGCGCCAGGTTGGTATCAGAGCTTCGCTACGCTCCTACGATTCAATGGTGAGGCTAAAGAAAGTTGTTCCTCCAACAGAGACTAAAATCACGCGACGAACCATCGCGGATCTTAAAGCTCAAATCAAGAACCTTACAACTTTAGTGGCCACCTTGAGTACACAGCAAGCAACTCCGGTAGTTCGCCATACACGCAACGACCAAGCTGATAACAATGACGAATTTGAGGAGGACGAAAGTCTGTTTACTCGCCTTCGTCATCAACCCCCTATCCGCGACAACAACCACATCAACAATAAATACTTGGATAAGGTGTATGAAGATTTGAATGAAAAAGGTTATGACACGAGAGACAAAGAGAACTCTTATGTCGTTCAAATTGGTGGGCCGATTTTTGACGTTTACGATATAGAAGAAGACGCGGAAATTTTTCCAGTGCAAAATTTGGATCCAGTGTTTGATGTGTTTGATGAAGAAGATGCAGAAATTGTTCCAATCTATGACATGTTTAATAAAGGAGTTACAGAAGTTTCTCCAGTCTATGACATCTTTGAAGAATTCGAGAAAAATCAAGTCTCAATGGGAATAGTAGAAGATGAAAGCCTAACTTCTGATGACCCAGCTAAGGTTTCGGAAACCCCAAAACTTTTACAAGAATCGGATCTCAATTCATCCGTACTGACCCAAGAAGATTCTACGACAACTCATGGTGCTATTTTGAATTCAAATCACGGAGATATATATACTTTGTTCCAAAAATTTCCTACAACATTCAGCCATAGCAAAAAAAGTTTTGATGTGCACTGTGATGCCTTTAACGAGGAGCGTTACATTGATAGTGTAGGACGAGAACATGTTATTTTTGAGCGAGACAACGATAGATATGTGGAGCCGCAAAGGAACACAAAATATTGTGATATTGGGAGTCAGGATTGTAAGCGACAACTTGACTGTGAGCCACCAGATCGAAACAGAAACATAGTATGTGCGGATCTTGGTGAAACATATAATGTTGTGGTTCCAAGATGCAGCAACTTCAAGTTTGTCCACGAGGATACACACTTTCTCAAAGCAAAGATCATTCATCTTCAGAAGGCACTTGTGTTAGAGCAAGAGAAAAATCAGTTTTTGGAACATGAGCTGCGTGAAACATACAAGAAGATCCGTATGTTAAACACAGGATCTGCAACCTTAGACAAGATTTTGAGTATGGGAAAGACAGAGAAAACAACTACTGGTCTTGGTTATCAAGGAAATTCACAGAGTCCAGAAACTGTTTTTGTCCGAGGAGTCGCATTTGATATTCGTGAAAACCATGAAGGGCAACTCATTGAAAAGTTTATCGATAAGGGGAGAGATAGTGACACTTCTGCGCAAGAAAGTCTCCTGTTGCCAAGTGAATCTCGCATTGGAGACAATGATATGTTACCGGTGATGTGTGTCTCTACTGCATATAAAGAAAATTATTTCTGGTTTTCATTGGTTTGCAGTGACGTTACCAACTTGGTGTTTCGAAAAGCATGGCAACAAGACACATATGTGATGCACAATGAAAGGAGTAACATATGGAGTTTTTTCTTAATTAATTATCGAATTTTGTTGGTCTGTAATCTGACTTTCTCTCCATGGAGTTCGATAGATGTGTCACCGCTTCAAGTGAACCAAAGCGTAGATGTGAGAAGTTTTTCATCTACGAACAGGATTAAGTCTATCTCTTGTGCAGGAAAGGATCATTCTGGTATTTTCAAAACTATGAGAAAGAAGTGTGATTTTTATATTGTTGGGAGGTTGATCTTCAGCCGTGTGATATTTCTTGTTGGTGCTTTAATGGGTTTTTTGGAAGTGGGGCATGCAGCACAAAAAAACCCCTTTTTCATGGCTTTTCCTCCGTACAAGGTTTATTCGTTTTTCTCTTATGTGATCATTGTCACATGGGATGTGGAGGAGTCTGCGTTTTTGTGTCAACTATTAGATCATAAGCCGTTTGTCTTCCTTCCGTACATGTTTACAACTGTTCTGAGAAAGATCATGTATGTCGTTGGATTGTATTGGCGACCTAATAAAGTGCGGCTAAGATTCATGTGTATCATGACAATAGGATCATCCGGTGATGTTCCAGATAGTATTACTGCTGAGGTGTCACAGTTTGTTGGACAAATGTGGATCATGGGGATCTCACGTTTCTTACCAGTGCTCTTACGGCGGCTGCGGTATTGCTACTTTCAGCATTTTTTGTCCAATATAAGTCTCGTGAAGGTGCTTATACGTATAGAAGCAGAGCTGTGTGCTATTCACGTTGAGAGTAGTCGTCTCCAGCCAGAGCCGATATATGTTGATGTGTGGTGTTGTGTGACTGTTTTCAAAGGGGACGAGCTGATTTGGATCATATTTCATAATGAACCACTGTGTTTGCTAAAGACGAGAATCACGTATTTTGGATTCCTTGTTTTTGGAGATATTTTGACACATGTTTATGGTCATGATTATCATCGTGTCTGTGTGGTATCTATAAGTACGCTAAGGGTGTTTCTTATGCTGGTTCCACATTGTGTGGTGACAAACTTTACCTTTGATGACAAACTGGAAACAAGGTTTGCACGTGGAATCTTTCTGAAGCGTCTTCAAGTGTCTTCAATTTTATTATTCCCAATCTTTTTGCTTCCACATGTCTTGCATTTTGGAGCTGTGCCGCTGAGTCAGAGAGGTTTTGTGCGTCATCAAACTGTTTCTAGTTGCACACTCACGACCTTAACTTGGTGGAGTAACGTTCCTTACAAGTCAAGCAAGTTTTTGTGTGTCTTGAATAAAGACGTGTCTTTCCGTACGAATACCTCGTATTCAAGGAAAGGTGCTTTTGAGTGTGTTCACATCTTCTCACATATTATGGTGGATGTTAGGGAGCTTATAATGCATATTCAACGTCTCAACCAGTTCTACATCATCTCTTGGTTAGTCGGTGATCTCTTTGCCTGTAATCAGGTAAAATACACTAAACATTGGCATAATAACGAGCAGAGTGAGGACTTGGAGAGTTCAGAGAAGAGAGCAGCTACAACAACGAGGATGCTTATATTGAAGGTTTGGGAGAAGATATTTTAATTTCGATTCGAGGTCGAATCTTTCAAACCCGGAGGGACCTGCAGCGCATCTTACGTCTTCTATACGTTTACTAATTATTACCGGTTTTAGATTATTCATTAAGTCAGGTTTTGGTTTTCTTTACTTCTAGATAATTATGCATTATTTCCCTTTTAAATTAAGTTGATGATATCCTTTTCCTATTAGGGTTTGTCTAAAGGAGACCAATATATTTGTTTCGGCTCCGAAGATACAAATCTAGACTTTGATAATTAATAATAGAGCTTTTGCTTATTCCTTGTGAGATTCGATTAAATTCATCTATCAAGAAGTTGGTCTCAAAGAAGCTATCGCAAGAAACTCTTTGATCGATCCAAGAACAAGTCTCTAGAACCCTAAAGTTCTTTGATCGACCGTTCAACAGTTTGTACGCTGCGCCACCTACCCCCACACAGTCGAACTTTTGTAAAGCTTCATAAACCCTAAAACCCCTTTTCCAAGTAATGTCATTTCTAATGAATAGATAATTGGGTTTCGTGAATCAGTTTGCTTGTGCGTATGCTCTGGAGGGTTCAGCATTATGCGCTGCATGGTTTGGAACTAAATCCATAGTGAGAGGAATCAGAGACAAAGATGATCTTACGTCTCGGTAAAACTTTTCATTCTTTCCCAACTCTTACTTTTGATCCTGCTTATGTTTGTTTCCTTGTCTGAGTGCAGACTATAGACTTTCCTAGTCAATGTGTGTGTTCCCCACAAGTTTTTTTAGATGTGCTCTTTGGTTGATATTGATTTTATGTTTTAGGTAGGTTATTACTACAGATTTTGTTTCAGAATGAGTAGTATTTGACATTGGTTATAACTTTTTCAGATTGGTCTCAGGATCAGGTGCTGGGTTGGTATACTATTTATTGAGCCAAGCCTTCAAACCAAAACATCCTAGAGGCGCACTCGTCAGCTCTGTTACTTTCACTGTTGTGTCAGGAATATCGTATAAGGTGATTGATTGTTTATTGTTATTAATTAATACAAAAGAGTATTATATATTCTTCTTCTTACTTTAAAACCGTTTTTTGTTTTCCCTTGAGGTGAGTGAGAGAAAGAAAACGCGCAATGCCCAAGACGCCTTTTACACAGAGGCAAGAGCTATGTTATCGAAGCTAGGCCTTGAGGAATACGAGAAAAACTTCAAGAAAGGACATTTCACTGACTGCACCTTGCCACTTCTAACTGATAGGTTATACATACATCCCCCCCCCCCCTCCCTTCAAGCTTGAGTTTTACAAACTAATCCCCTTAATTTTCTGATGAATTCTGAATCCAGTGATTTAAAAGAAGTGGACATTCCACTAGGGCCAAGGCTTCTGATACTAGATCATATCAAGAGGTTTGTTTACAAGCTTCTCTGCTCTTCTTACATGGTATCAAAGATGTGAACTGGATCCAACCATGCTTTGTTGTTTTGAGTGCAGGTATAATAAGATGGTAAACCGCAAGTGAAGAAAGCAGTAAACTGACCCCAACCCTTTTGTCTTATATGGTGGTGGTAATAACTTAGAATCTTGGAGGTGTAATTTTTAATAATAACCTTGCTAGTTTTTGTAATAATTAATAACCTCAAGACTTAACCACCTATGAAATTTAGAAGCCAAGAACATAACTTTTTCACTGAAATTTAATGTCTGCTTAAGTAAAAGCAGCTTTATAATATCAAACCCTAATTCTTCCGATCACCAACTTCACCTCTCCTAAAGAACAAATTAATTAGATTCTACACCAACTCTTATCGTCCCATTCTTATTAACATCCAGATTGCTCTAAGTTACGCAAACTACACAAGTTCTCCACCGATCCACCCTCTTCAATGATCTCTTCGTACTTCATAAAAAGAACATTCTCCTTATCTTCTAAGCTCCCTTTCCAGTAACTCAACTCATGTTCCCAGTAGGGTCCGTATAAGATAACTCATCTACAGTAGTCAGTATGCATCAAACAATAGCTCAAAAGTACTGGCTTGATCCATCTTTGTGCGATGCATCATGTTATTATAATGCCAACTGGAGTCAAACGTGTCTTTGACACACGTAGACGGTTTTGCAAGGTGAGTAAGAAGGCTTTGCGTGTGTGCTATTAATTTATAGTAAGATTGTTGTGCTGAATGAGAAGTTTTCTCTACAAGTAAATAGCGCCGTGCTGTACATTGGGTTTATCTTTTGGTTCTACAGTATCATTCTTGGTGGAAGACAACACATCCTTTACTTAAAGGAAAAAACAAGAGAGAATGAGAGTCTCATGGATTATGAGCTAGTGTAGACCTACCACTAACCAACTCACTAGACTGAGTCGCAATTTTATAATATAGGGTTTTTTTCTAAAATTTAGTATCCTTTTCAAAAAATAATTTATGTTGGTTATTTTTTTGAGAAAACATAATTTATGTTGTTAGTATAAATAAATATAGAACATGCACATGGTCCATTAAGACAATGAGTCGGGCTTGATAGAAATTGTTATAAATATTATTTCCCCATTTTACTTTAGTTGTCATTTTAAATTTTTGCACATAGATTTTTTTTTTAACATTTTACTTGTTTCAAGAGCAAATCTAAAAAGTAGAGTTCGCCTTAGTTTCAAGTTCTCTCTGACACGAATCTCGAGGAGCCGCCTCCGCCTGCACATCCCGACGCCGGTGGCGCTCAAGCTCGCCGTCGTCGCCGTCTTGTCTCTCTCCCACTCACCACCTACTTCCTAGTCATCTCGTCTTGGTTCATGTCGTCGTCTCGTTTCGCAGTTTGCCGCCCCATTCTTCTCGTCATCACCTTCTCCACCATCCATCTCGTTGTTACCGCATCCTCCATCCATCTCGTTCTCGCCTCCTCCACTGCTCTCAACTCCACCGCCGCCCTTCCCACCCCGCTCGTATTCGCCATCACTTTCGCTCCTCTTGTTGTCACCGCCACTCTAAAAACCGCTCTTCTTAGTGCGAGCATAAGCTTCAGATCTAATATTCATGTGGCTTCGCTGGCCAGATCTGTTCGTGACTTCGTCTCCGTTACTCCTCCACCACTCCATGGTTTCCTTGTCGTAGTTCCTCTCAGTATAAACAGAAACACTAGATCTATTAGACCTGAAGGAAAATTCGCCAGATTTGATCTCACCAACGCTAAATCTATTAAATCTGAAGGAAATTTTGTTATCTCCACTGCGTTGACTCTCTCAACGTTCTCAAGAAGATACTCTAACAATGAAACCTTCATGGGCTCTGGTTTACATCGTCGAGTCCCATTGAACGTGGTGGGTCAATTCCGTCAGTGTTCTCTGGAGTATTTATACGGCCATCACCCGATGCTCTCCTCCTGTCACCCAATGATGACTCAAGCGCTTTCAGTTCGATTGGATTTGTGGATTGTTTGGTCAGATGGATTTTGGTAATACCTTACTGGTCCCGATATGGTAATGTCGAGGTCCTAAGTGTAAGACTGAGTTCAATGTCCACTCCGCCACAAAAGTTAAATAGTTTCAGAGTATCTATGAAGATGAAGATGTCACTTTTATCAGATGTTTCAACCGATACGACCAGGGTTCACCTAGCCTAAAGTAGTGATGTTATGTTTAAGTTAAAGATTGTTTTTGTTCAGCCATCACAGGTCAGTCAAATGTGTAGTTGCTTTGTTCTTGTAACTAGCGCTATTCGGTTCTATGGTTCATCAATTTTGTTCGTCAGCGCCAAATCCAGGTTTTTTGTAACCGCTATTTCCGTTGAGATTCACTTAGTCTCTTCGGGAAACCTTCTCGTCGGAGCTAGAGCTTGTCTTGCTCGTTCCGCTTCATGCCAAACTTTGCTGTTTGGTCAACTGAACGTCGATTTCGACTATTTCGTGCTCGTGGTAGTAACCTATTCAGGGATGCATATGATGATATCCTACGGTTCTCCTGTTGTCAAGCAAGTATATCTCGTTCACTTGTTATCTATTTTTATGTTGTTCTGTTTCTGCATTATATTCATCAAACCGTCGAGGATCCCTCGGGTTATTATCTTCTTACCGTTGAGCATAGCTCCGAATGTAATCGCTTAGACCTTTTATTTAATATAATCGTTGACAAAAAAGGTTTTTCCACACAGATTAAAAAAATATTTAATTTTGCATATTTTCAAAGATAAAAACACAATTACTTATACACCTAACTACTTTTCAACTAATAGAAAAATAAGATATTATATAAACTTCATAAATTTATCTCGAAACTCTAAATTATTTTGAAACAAAAAATTTTCTTTAGAATGACAACTTATTCTGAGTATTTAATTTACAAGTTAAAAACCTAATACAAGATCCATTATCAAATATCTTTCCTAGAACAAGCGAACATAAGCAGAAGCAAAGAAAAAAAAAAGAACAGTGGCGATCATGGGAGGAGAGGAGAGGCGAGTCATGGGCAGCGGAGATACGATGGCGCATTCTTCACGGAAGGAAATTAGTCCGACTATGTACAAAGTGATAGAAGCCGTCTGCAAGACCGCATTTGGCGGTGTCTTCGGAGCTGTTGTCGGCGGTATAACAGGAACAGTCATCATCGCCCCAATGGTCCGGCGTTATCCTCAAGCCCTAGCCGAACTGACACGAACTCAGGTTTTGTTCAGCTTCATAAACCCTAAACCCCTTTTTCCAAGTAATGTCCTTTCTAATCGAATAGGATTTTGGTTTCTGTGAATATAAGTATGGTCGTGCGTATGCTCGGGAGGGTGCAGCAGTTGGCTCTGCATGTTTAGGAATTGATTCCATAATGACAGGAATCAGAGGCAAAGATGATCTTACGAATTTGTAACGTTTCATTCTTTTTATCCTCTCTCTATATATGTTTCCTTGTCTGAGTACAGACTACAGATTTTTGTTTATCCACAAGTGTTACACTAAGAATTTTCAAGTTGTTTCTCTAATGCTAGCTATATCTTAATTTGACATTGTTTCTTTGGGTAATATTACTGTTTTATATTATTACAGACTTTGGTTATGGTTGAGTTTTGATATTGGTTATAAATTTGCAGCATGGTCATAACATCAGGTGCTTGGTTGGCAAAATCTTTTGCGAGACATGGCTTGAAAGGACAACCTGCACACGCACTCTCCGGCCTTGCTTTATTCGCTGCTTTGTCAGGAACAATGTAAGGTGCTAACTAGATTCATGATTTAATAATACAAAAGAGTATATCTTCTTCATTAATTAACACGGTTTGTGTTTTCCTTTGAGGTGAGTGTGACAATCAACTCGCGCAATGCCCAAGACGCCTTTTACACAGAGGCAAGAGCTATGCTATCGAAGCTAGGCCTTGAGAAATACGAGAAGAACTTCAAAAAGGGACATCTCACTGATCCCACCTTGCCCTTGCTCACTGATAGGTTGGTTATACCCATACATCTCCTGAGAGCTTCAAGCTTGAGTCTCTCATTGATTGCTCAACTATAAACTAATCCCCTTTCTAATGAATTATGAATCTAGTGTCCTACAAGAAGTTAACATTCCACCAGGGCCAAGGCTTTTGATACTAGATCATATCAAGAGGTTTGTTTACAAGCTTCTCTACTCTTCTTACATGGTATCAAATATATGAATTGGATCCAACCATGCTCTGTTGTTTTGGGTGCAGGTACAATAAGATGGTAAAGGACAAGTGAGGATAGCAGTAAAAACATGACATAACATCAAATTTTTTTTTTTTTTATTACAACATAACATCAATTTATTCCTTGAAATCTCAAGTTAAAACAACACCAACATAACACACAACCTTATTGAAATGTCAAACCCGAACCTTGTAGTTTACTTTCGACGATATCGTCAAACCTTTTAGCCATTTGAGGAGTGAGATGATTCTTCCAATCACCAACTTCACCTTTCCTGAAGAACACATTAGAATCTATACCAATTCTCGTAGTCCCGTTCTTGTTAGTCTCCAAGTTGCTCAAGTTACGCAAACTACACAGCTCCAAGATCTTCTCCACCGAACCCCCCTCTTCTTCCTCCTTGGTGAACGGGCAATTCAAGAACCCAGCGAGCCTCTTGACTTGAAGAAAAGGCTCCTCAACGATCTCTTCATACCTCATAAATAGAACATTCTCCTTATCTTCTAAGCTCCCTTTCCAGTAGCTCAACATATGTTCCCAATAGGGTCCGTATAAGGTAACTCCTCTACAGTAAGCATCAAACATGAGCTCAAAACTGGCTTGATCCATCTCGGTACGATGCAACTTGTTCTTATAATGCCAACCGGAGACAAACGTATCTTTGAGACCTCTACACACGTAGACGACTTTGCATGGTGAGGAAGAAGACTTTGTGGTGGCTTCACGCAGTGTATTCAAGTGCATGTGTGTAGAAAAGATCATAGGAGAAGGAAACTTTGTGAGATCCGGAGTTTGACTACTAGTGTATAGCTCAATCTCAAGAAATGGGACTAGGTCATGAGGGTTTTGTGAGAGCAAAGGATGTGTTGTTTGGGGATTTTCACGGTATTTTTCTCTATGTAAAACCGCGAAAACTAGAGATTTGAGCCAAGTGGTACCACCTTTGGGCAAAGAAGCAAGGATTATATCGTTCTCTCGTGGCCTGAAATGGTCTTGGACGTCAAGAACGGCTTGGAGGGTGTTGGGATAGTACCAACAGCCTTTGTAGTTGTAGAGATTGTAACCCATGAAATCTTTGTCTGAGGGAAGTGAAGATATCAACTTCTTGGTTTCTTGGCTAACGTTGTCATCTTTCATGTAGTTTGGAAGGTGTTGAGGTTCTTGAGAAGCCTCCATTGCGATGCTTTTTCTCTAGAAACAGAGAGGGATGATAAGAAAGAAAGGAGATTTTTGATTTGATGCTTTGGTAAGTCCGGTCTTATTACAAGTCACATGTTTATAGTAGACAAAAGTCACAAATCACGTGTTTAGGTCTTGTTCGCGTTTCAGTTATGGCTGCGTCCTAGGACACACATGATCAATCCCACTATGATATGAATCTTACCGTTACAGAATCCACTTTTGCAACTTTATACTTTTTTTTTGTCAGTGTTGATGTTGCGGAGATAACAAGAAAACTTACAAAGAAATTGGATTGAGTCACATAAAACTTAAACTTATCTCTTTGTTAATTATCAGAAATTTTGAGTTCAATATAGAGGCATGGCCAATAAAACTCTTTTACGTGCCACCATGTTTCGTGTCAATTTGCTTGTTAAAGAATTTGTTCTGTATCAGTCTCTACAACAAATATTATATATATCTTATGAAGTTTGTAACTCTCCAAGCGAATCAGAGACTTTCTATCTTAGAAGCGAATCGGTGAGAGGGGAACAAAGAAAGTTTCAAACAGTCCCACATCGCTTGGGTAGAAATACGTGTGATTAGAAGTGGGCCTATAAAAGAAGACGGAGTGCGTGACATAGAAAATATGATCCTTCAGGTTTAAAGGGGAAGTGAGGATTGGGTTTTAATCACGCACAATTAAATGCGTGAAGAGCGTTCCGCTCAAAACCTTTTACGACAATTGGGCGCTCCAATTTTCATATCATCTGATCCCTCTAGTTTAACAATTTTGTTTTTTAAATAAATATTTTCTTCTTATTTTCAATTTTTTTGAAATTATTATTTTCTTCTTATTTTTCAATCTTTCAAAAATTAATTTTTTCTTCTTATTTTTTCAGTATCTTCTTTTAAATAAAAATAATTAAAAAGTAGTAAAAATTTATTTTAAAATTTTCGTTAGCTTAAAATCTTTTAATTTGTAAGGAAAATAGGGTAAAGTATTACTTTGGTAGAGCCATATGTGCTCTTGTAATCAATATGAAAAAAAATTATACTCACAACTTTTTTGACAAAAAAATCTATATATAATAGCAATCTAAAAGTGACATCAGCAAATTATTATAGGAAAATAAAAATTTAATCCAATGGTTATAATTTATTTGATTTTAAAATCTAATGGACATAAAACACTTTTTATAATGGGTGATGATGTCATCAAATTTTGGCAACTCTTCTTCCAAGAGTCATCTATTTTAGTTTAAGAGGTACAATCGTATGTGTCATACATTTTCATAAATTTAAATATTAATATATTTTCATTAACTTCTGAGGCTAATAAAAAATTTTTTTTATGAAAAGACATACTTTTTAATAATTTAAGAAAATAACTTTAAAACTAATATTATTCAGTATTTTATGAAAGGACACAAGTTTAAATATTAATTGGGGATTTTTTATTAATAGATATTTTAATTATGAGAAGGCACAACTTTTATAACCTATCTTAAATACTTTTAAACTATTTTTTTGAAACACAATTTTTTTTTTATAATGAACAAATGCAAATTTTCAAATAATAGATATTTTTTTATGAAAAGACGCAATATTATTTATAATGAAAAAATGCAACTTTTAAATTAATATATTTCAGTTTTTAATGAAAAGATACAACCTTTCAACATTTTTTTTTGTTTTTCATCTAATAGTCCTATTAAAGTTTTTATGAAACTTTTAAAATAATAAAAAGTTTTGAAAAGACACAATTTTTCTTATAATGAGAAGATGCAGCTTTTAAACTAATATATTTCAGTTTTTTATGGAAATATACAACATTTCAACAATTGCTATTATGAGAAGACACAACTCTTATAACCTCTATTAAATACTTTTAAAAGATTTTGTCTGAAACACAAACTTTTTTATAATGAAAAGATGAAACTTTTTAAATAATAGATAATTTTTTTATGAAAACACCATTCTATTTATAATAAAAAATAAAACTTTTAAACTAAGATATTTCAGTTTTTATGAAAAATACAATATTTCAACAATTGTTTTGTTTAGCAAACCTCCTATGACATCAGTATTTTTTCATATGAATTATTTATGAAAAGAACCAACTTTTAAACTAATATATTTCAGTTTTTAATGAAAATATATAATTTTCCAACAATTGTTTTGTTTTTCATCTAATAGTCCTATTAATTTTTTTATGCAACTTTTAAAATAATATTTTTTTTAAAACCGGTTAGTCGTGGTTGTGCACTTTATAAATAGTTTAAATTTATTATATTTTCGTAACTTCTACATATTCTAGCATTTACTAAAAATTACTTTATTTTATTTTCTGTCCGAATGAGTTTCCACTTTTTTACTACTATAACTTCTTATATTGCTAAGAAAAAAAAAACTATTTCTACTTGTAAGAACGAAAAGCTTAAAAACTATTGTCTATCTTCTAAACAATTTGTTTCAGTTACAATTTTTAAAACACCAACTTTCATTTCATTTCAGCTTGTTTGAGAACAACCACAATCCGAATTAATTCCAACAGACATGGCTTTTTATTATAATTTTATTTATAACTGTTTATTATTGTTCAGGGTGTCTTTTGATTTATACCTGATTTCATTTTTAATTGTATGGAGAGATTATGTCTTTTCAATAAAAACATATATTATTTTTTTAATGAAAAAACATAACCTTTCAATACAATTTAAAAATGAAATCAGTTATAAATAAAAAATACCATGAACAGTAATAATAAATAGCAATGAGGAAATTATAATGAAAAACCATGTCTTTTTTAGCGTTTGAAATGTCACATATGACTTTTTTTATGACTTGTAGCTTTTTATAATCTTATATTTTTTTATCACACCTCTTAATCCAAGGGTTAAAACTAAACTTAATAATAGCAATCCTAACTAATTTAAACGATTGGGTCTTTTGATTTACTCATAATAATTGTGTATTGTATCTTCTCGTTTATAACTGTTTAATTATATATGTATCTTTTCGTTATAAAGTTGTGTCTTTTCCTTTTCATGTCTTTTGAAATCTATATAAATTGTGTTGTTCACAATTTTTTTCACTCTCCAATTATAATTTCACGGATCTTTTTGTTCACAACGGGCTATCTCCTATTGATTTCTGAGCCATATTGACTCCCAATCTCCAATGCTGGTTGTTTGTTCTTCTTATTTACTTTATGTTTTTAATGCATTTACATCTCTTATTACTACCATTAAAATCAGTGGAAGAAAGTCAGATACTTATAATTGAAAAACCATTCCATGACGTTGGAGTCTCTGTATACGCATCTTCCTATTTTCTTCATGTGTTCAACATATGTTGACAATCAGCTATAAAAAATTGGAATAAAGAAATATCAAAGTAACGTCCGTAGAAACAAATTACGCTTCATACAATTAACAAAATAATGATATACTCCAACAAATAGTTAATTTTAAAAAATGTAGAAGGGAAAGATGAAAAGATCATATATAACTTTTTAAAAAAATATTATAAAAGGATTCAATTGTGAAGTTTCTAAAAAATAACTACCTGTAAACAAATAGAATATATATTCTCTCACTATTTGTTTTATCTTACTTAAAAATCATTTTATCACTAAGAAAACCTTACATTGTAAAAACTATTAAGAGGCACGAGATCTAACAAAAGTTTAAGATTGTTATATGTAGTTAACGGTTAACGGGTTGATGCCGGTTTGATTTGTGAATAGGCGTAAGTGGACTCACTGAATAGTTGCAACCGATACTTAATTGAATTGTTATAAGAACTGCTGATTGGATACAACACTACAAAGAAATTAAAGAAATGTTGTCTTTTTCATTAGATTCCATGAAGCATACACGTACAAT